GTCGTTTCCGTCGTCGTTGTCGCCGTGGTCGTCCTTCCTCCTCCTCCCACGTCGTCGTCGTCCGTCGTCGGCGTCCGTCGTCGTCCCTCCTATTTCGTGCCGTCGTCGTCGTCGTTGTCGTCGTCGTCTTCCCTCCTCCCTCGTCGTTGTCGTCGTCGGCGTCGCCGTCCTTCCTCCTTCTTCGTCATTCGCGTCGTCGCCGTCCTCCCTCCTCCCTCGTCGTTGTCGTCGTTGTCGTCGTTGTCGTCGTTGTCGCCGTTGTCGTCTTTCCTCCTCCCTCGTCGTCGCCTTCGTTGGCGTCGTCGTCGTCGTCTTCGTCGTCGTCGGCGTCGGCGTCGTTGTCGTCGTCGAAGGCGTCGGAGACGTCGTCGATGTCGTCCTAGTCGTTGTCGTCGGTGTCGTCGTAGTCGGTCTCAAGAGGTTTTGCAAACCAAGTTGCGGGTGGGTGGGTGGGATGTTTGCGCGAGCAGTGGAAATGACGACTTCAAGTTCAGCAGAGTGGGTTGCACCACATAGGTTGCTCCACACAGATTGCACCACATATAGTGCACAACAAACAGTTCACCACGCAGGTTCTCCTTTTCTGAAAAAGAAATTGATTCTACCACCCTCCCCCCCCCCCCGGGCTTTTCGCTTCACCGGGAACCGATGCAAAACACATACGATTCTGACCCAATGTCCATCCTAACTTTGAATTCAGACTATCTCAGCCAGGTCAGTATCGGTCCCCCCCACACACACCATCCTCTGCAAAAAAATACGATGCGCGCGCACTCGTTTATCAAAAACCCTAAGTTTTCAAGAATCCCTTCCAAAAGATGGGACGAAGTGCACACGCGCGCGTCGTCGCGCGCGCATACCGAAATGCTTCCAAAACCTTCGGTTTCGGAAGGATTGCGAAATCGAGTGACAAAAAACATATTTTTGGTTTCGCACAAAAGCGTGCGCGCGCTCTTGCGAATTCTCAAGGAAAGCCATACGTTTTCCAACATGTTCATAACATGTTACCAAACGGGCTTCGCGCGCGCGCATGTCAAAATCGTTCGAACACCCTTTTGCGCGCGTGTTGGGGGGCACGACCCGTGTCAAATAATACCATGCGAGCTACTCTCGCGCGTCTGCCGCGCGCACATTTCGAATTCCTTCCAAAACCTTCATCACCGACGCAAAAATGCCGTCATCGTCGTCGGCGTGATCAGCATCGGCGCCGTCACTGGCTGCCTTTTCGTCGCTGTCATCATCGCCACCAGCATCGCTACTACCATCATCGCGTCTACCGTTGTCGACGTTGCCATGATACCGCGCCCGTCCAAATCACCGACTCGCACTGAAGTGCCCGTTGGGATGTGCCGAGCGGTCAGCGCCACCGCGTTCGCGTCGGTCGCGCCAAACTAGCTAGCCGCTGCGCGCGCGAGCATGCGCGGGTCAGCGCGGCCACAGAGATGCACCAGCCAACACCCAGCATTCATCGCAATCGCTCGCGCATGGGATTTGCAAACCAAGTTGCGGGTGGGTGGGTGGGATGATTGCGCGAGCAGTGGAGTTGACAAATTCAAGTTCGGCAGGTGAATTGCACATCATAGATTGCACCACATCTATTCCATCTCATGAATCGCACCACGTAGGTTGCTCCACATAGACTGGGCCACGCAGATTGCACCACATCGATTGTTCCACATCGACTGAACCACATATGTTGCTCTGCATATATGGCGCGACAATCATTGCTAGAAACACATTGTGTGGGGCCCACGCGGGCTAACACACATCTATAAAAACATGTATATGTATCAATGCACCTGAACATATATATATATATATATACACACATATGTATATGTATATGTAAATATAGCCTACGCGGGCTCCTAGCACAAATCCGGCGGAAAGTTCTACTGTAGCGTCTGTTACAGCTGATATTTTTTCTAGGGAAACGAGGCAGTTAAATCTGTACCGCGGGACTGGCGCAACCGCCAGACGATCTATTGCTACTGCCAAGTCTGCGTTGGAACCTACATCAAAACTGGACGAACGCATTGTGTGCGCAACCCCGACGGCCTCCAACCGCTTATATGGGACACAATGAAAGCCAATCGCAAAGCCGATCGTATCGCTGCCCGCATCGACGGCTCTGGTGCAGCGACAGAAGCACATCGCCACGCGGTAGACAGCACGAGCAGAAAGAGGAAGGCAAGCAGCAAAATGGAGGAAGGCAAGGCATGAGCAGAGATGACAGAAAGAAACACGCGCATGCGTACCCTTTACCGGAACATGAATCATGCAGGCGGGACCCGCACTGGAGCCCAACGCGAGCGGATAAGAAGACACGTGCTCTGAGAGCCTCAATGCCAAGACAGAGGCACCAAACCCTGAGGGTCGGCGTAGCATACAACTGGCGAACACAAACTACCGAGTTGCGAAGATAGCTCACATGGTAAGGCTGCGCGCCAGGCCTGCTGTCACCCCAACGATGGGGTCGAGGGCCGACGGAGCGCAGGACTCTGAGGGGCGAAGCGCCTGGCAGGCCAGCGAAGCTCCCCTGGCGGGACACCAGCGCCTCAGACAACCTGCCCGCCGGTCGACGAGGAGGCCGACGCCTGGAGGCCGAGAAATAGGCTCCAGCGAGAAAAACATAAGCAGAGCTAGGACATGCACGTGCAAACAGCTTCCAGGGAGGAGGAGGAGGAGGAGGAGGAGGAGGAGGAGGAGGAGGAGGAGGAGGAGGCGAGGGGGACTGCACACTCGAGGCGAGCGCCTGGGGCCTCCACAGCCGCGGATGGACCTGCAGGCCCCGACCAGCAGGTCGGCACAGCCATTCGGAGGGAGAGGAAGGGCGAGGAGGCGGAGGACGGAGGAAGCGGGGGAAGGAGGGAGACTGCACGCTCGAGTCGAGCGCCTGGGGCCTCCACAGCCGCGGATGGACATGCAGGCTGCGACCAACAGATCGGCAGCTGATAATCACAGCTCTGACTACAGCTCCAACTGAGAATCCGAGTGCAGCTCTTACTACACATCCTGCTAAAAATCCTGCTAGACTGCAGCTTGAAGTACAGATTCTGTTGCAGCTACTATCGCACATGGTCTTACAGTGCCTACTAAACGTCCCTGCCTTGAGCTGTTTGGGGGTCGTCTTCGGGCCACTTGGGTCCGTCTGGAGCCCCTCTTGGGCCGTCTTGGTGGCGCCCGCGACTCAGCCTTCCCGGTCAAGAACCAGCTTGTGTCGGGCCTGTCCCTCTACAGGGGGAATATTCAAAAAAAGTCAAAAATAATATGGGGACGAGTTTTTATATATGTTTGAAAATTTGTTGGGCATGTTTGGGGAATTTTTAATTGAATCGCTTCGCTCATTCCGCCGGCCCATTTCGCATGACTGAGCCTCTTGGGGCCGCTGGGGGGCCTCTTCAGCGTCGCTTGGGGGCATCCTGAGGGCCTCTTGGGGGCTTTTGGGGCCTCTCAGGGGCCTCTTGAGGCCTCCTGGGGGCTTCTTAAGGCCGAGGGCTCGAAGTTTTGTTTTGTGTTCCCCCTTTGGGGCATCGCTTGGGGCCCTCTTGGGCCCCTCTTGGGCCGTCTTGGATGCCTCTGGGGCCGTCTTGGAGCCCTCTTGGGCCATCTTGGGGCCTTCTTGGGAGCTTCTTGGGCCCTCTTGGGGCGATCTTGGGGGCCTCTTGGGCCGTCTTGGGGCGTCGGGAAGCCGAAAAGATAGACACGCCAAAATCTGCCCAAAATCTAAGGAAAAGTAATGATTTTTGCCTCTTGGGGCCCTCTGGGGAGTGCTCTTGGAGGCCTCTTGGGGCGTCTGGGGGCCATCTTGGGCGTCTTGGAACGATCGTGTGGCATCCCGGAGCACTCTTGAACCATCTTGGAGGGCTCTTGGCGGCCTCGTGGCCCTTCTCTTGGGGCTTTCTGGAGGGCCACGGGGGCGGCGCCCAGGAGGAAAACCATCTCTGACCCGAGTCTGCCGGGATCGCCCGAACACTTTTCGCCCGGGGACCCCCAGGGGCCGCCCCGCGCGCGCGAAGTAGAAGTATCATTTAGCAGTTACCGGAGATCTTAGCACGCCTCTGGCCCGTTGGGCCGGCGAATTTCTCGCACGCGGGATGCTAGTCGACGTCGCCGGCGGTCGAAGGGCCCTAGAGCGGGGCACACGAGGGTTGGGGACCCCCACGGCCTCGAACCTGGCCCAGAAGGCCGACCACGGCAGCCGCCTCCTCCTCCTCCTCCTCCTCCCTCCTCCTCCTCCTCCTCCTCCTCCCTCCTCCTCCTCCTCCTCCCCCTCCTCCTCCTCCTCCTCCTCCTCCTCCTCCTCCTCCTCCTCCTCCTCCTCCTCCTCCTCCTACTCCTCCTCCTTCCTCCTCCTCCTCCCTCCTCCTCTCCTCCTCCTCCTCCCTCCTCCTCCTCCTCCTCCTCCTCCTCCTCCTCCTCTTCCTCCTCCCTCCTACTCCTCCTCCTCCTCCTCCTCCCCCTCCTACTCCCTCCTCCTCCCTCCTCCTCCTCCTCCTCCTCCTCTCCTCCTCCTCCTCCTCCTCCTCCTCCCTCCTCCCTCCCTCCTCCTCCTCCTCCTCCTCCCTCCTCCTCCTCCTCGGAAATCGGCCGCTGCTTCCGCCAGCGCCCACGCACAAGCCGCCCGCTCGCGGAGGCAGCGCCCCCGCCGTGCCCCGCCAGCCCGCCCCCCGCCGTCCCGGTGGCCTCCTCGACCAGCCTGTCCTGTCGGGAGCGGCCAAGAGGGGGCTGTCCAAGTGGGGAGGAGGAGGGGGGGAAGGAGGAGGAGGAGGAGGAGGAGGAAAGAAGGAGGAGGGGGAGCAGGAGGAGGAGGAGGAGGAGGAGGAGGAGGAGGAGGAGGAGGGGTGGGTGCAAATCATGACCGGCGGCATGTGCGCGGCCCAACTTGGGGGCCAGGGACATAATGGAAGAAGAAGAGGCGCAGTGAAATCTGGGGAAATGTCGTGGCCCCCGCCATGATATCCACCCCTCCCTAGTCATCACCCCCCTCTTTGCCGCTCCCGATCCTGGAGAGTCTGCATCTTCTCGGCCCTCTTCGCGAGCACCTTCGCGCTAGGGAAACGAACAATGGCATGAACAGAAAAGCTCGGCGGTTCGCGCGGACTTCTCGCATCGGCGCTGGGGCCCCCTGGCAGCGCCTCCGGCGCCGCCGCTGGCGCGCGAAGCGCGCCAGGGAGGGGGGGTCCAGCGCGGATCCAAGAAATCCTCGCGGACCTCCGAGTTTTTATGTTTGTCATTTTTCGTTCCCCTATCGCGGAAGGCACCGTGCACCACCTCCGTGCCTGGCCAGGGCCATCCTGGGCATTCGTGCGGCGTGCGAGCCCTCCTGGTCAAGGCCAAGGGGGGGTCTCTATACCATTCGGGGGCCCAAGATGGCCGTGCCAAGGCACGGTGGTGGCGTATAGATGCCATCTGCGGATCACCGACTTCCGGCCGCACTTCGGGCTCCCGGCCTCAGCCAGCTCCGCTAGCCTCTGTGACCTGCCCTCCTTGCTCGGGGAAGCCGACCTCGCCGCCCTCGGCGACTTCGGCGACTTCGCCTTCGCCTCTGAGCCCTTTGGCGACGACGACTTCGCATCTGGCGAGGCGGGGGAGGAAGGCCGAGAGGAGGAAGAGCAGCAGCAGCAGCAGCAGCAGCAGCAGGATGATGGCGGTATCGTCCCCCCCCCTCCTCCACCGCCCCTGCACCATCTCGATCCTGGGGGGAATCGGGACTGGAAGCGGCTGCGCGCCCTCCCTCCAGAGGCCTCCGTCGGAGGGGACTGTCGTCTTGTTCGACCTGCTCCCCACAAACCCCGAAAACTGTTTGCTCCACGCCAGAACGCGAAGCGAGCCCAATGCCCAGGAGGTTGCCTCTCGACGCCTCCCCTCGAACTCCAAGAGGGCCGCTGCTGGGGGATGCGGTTGCACCCCTGGCCCCACCCGTGGCAGAGGATAACCACTCTTGCCCGGACCGCGACGCGCGAAGCGCGACCATCTTCGCGCCCCCGCGGGTGACCTAGACAGCGCGCGGAGCTCGCATGGGTCCTGCGGGTTCGGCGACACAGGCAGGTCGGGCCAGTGCCGTGAACTCACGACCGCAGCGGGAGCGGGCACGCCCGGCGGAGCACGCTGGCCGGCGACAAGGCCCTCTGGCGCGGCTGGGAGTGGTACCCGTCGAAGCCTCGGCGTGCAGGCTCCGAGAGGGCCGCCCGCGCACCCACCGGAGGAGCGCCCAGGCTCGTCGGCCCCTCGCGCGAGCCTGCTGGACGGTGCCGCCTGCGCGCGAGGGAGCGCAGGATCGGGGTGCGGGCTGGAGGCCTCTTCTGGGCCTCTTGGGGGCCTCGTTTGGGCCGCTTAGGGGGGGGGGGGGGGTCTTGGGGGGGGGGGCCTCTTTTGGGGGGGGCGCGTCTTTGGGGCCGCCTGGGGGCCTCTTTGGGGCGTCTTGGGGGCCTCTTTGGGGGCGTCTTTTGGGCCGCTTGGGCGTTGTGGGCTGGAGTTTTGAAGCGTCTTGGGGGGCCTCTTTTGGGCCGCTCGGGGAAGGGGGGGGGTGCGTCCGAGGCCCCCGGGGGGCTCACCGCCAGGCCGCTGAGCGCCAGGCCGCGCGCGGGGGGACCGATCCCGCATCGGGGCGACAGCGGCAGGCGGTGCGGAGGGCGCTGCTGCAGTCGTGAAAGGCTCAACGGCTTCTGCCGTCCTTCGGCTCGCGCTGGAGCGGCCGCGAATTGCTCCGACTTTCCCTGGAGACCTGACGGCTGGCGAGTCGCTCTGGATGAACCTGGATCTACCCGGATTTATCTCGATGTGCCTGGATTGACCTCGATTTGTCCAAATTTACCCTGAGGGATTCAGGGCACCCGATTCGGCGCGAGACTGGGCGGCGTTCGCAGCGCCCCCGTGGTGGGAAGCGGACGGCACGGCACGGCATGCGGTCAGGCTCACGAGAGCCACTCGGAAGCCATGTTCCGGAGCTCGGGGAGCCCTCACAGCTCCCACTGGCCGACCCCGGAAGCCCTGGTCGTGGCGTTCACCTCGCCGGTTGAGATCATGACCTTTCCTCCCGTCACGCGTCCGACGGCGTCGAGGGCGAAGCCTCTTCTGCTTACGTTCGCTGGCCGTCCCTGGACCTCCTGCAGGCTTCCGCAGAGGGGGAGCGGTAGACACCTCGTGAGTGAACGGGAGCTCGCGCATCACTTGCCGCCAGGGCGGACGTATCACGGCTCGACCTCAAGAGATCTGATGAGACGCTGCTTGACAAGACTCTTCCAGCGTTCGCTGCTCAGGGACAGGCGGCCGTCGTCGTCATCAGCACCAATGTGTTAGCATTACCGCCATCATCCTGATTACTACCGCCATCGCCACTGTCATGAATCACGTTGTCGTCGTTGCCCTTGTTCTCGCATCACCCACTCGGAACCCGCCGCCGTCGCCATCACCATCGCCACCGCCGTGGCTCTCCGCCCAGAGTGCTCCGCAGCGGCCTTGCGAGGTAGAGCTCGGATCACCTGGGGATCCTTTCTTCGGCGACTTCGGCTTCGCGAGGCGCTGCACGCACGCCGTGGACTTCCTCCTGTTCTCCTTCGCCTTCTGGCTCTTCTCCTGGTCCTCTGTCGTCTCACCAGCCTTCGCCTTCTGCTTCTCTGCCTCCTCCTGCTCGAACGCCCGAAATCGGTACGGAAAACATGGGTCCGATGCCCAACAACTGATGTTGTCCAAACCCGAGCGGCCACTGGTGGGCAGGCGGCCTTCTGCCTCAAACGGACAAGGCCTGCGGCGACACCGACAGCGAGTCCTATCCAAAATGAACAGGAACTGCTGTCGGTCTTTGCACCCCTGCTTTCCGTACCCATCTCGATCGTCCCGATCTCGACGGATTCCCGAGGCGGGGACCAACGACGGAACTGACGGGGCGAGAAGGAGAAGCTGGGGCAGGGGAAGGCAACGGGAGGCAGCCAGGGGCACGAGGAGCTGGAGCAAGGGGAGGTGGGCACCCAGCGCAGCTGAGCCACGGGCTCCTCGACTCTCCTCGAGCCTCCTCGATCCTCGATCCTCCTCGATCCTCCTCGAGCCGCGATCCTCCCCGAGCACCGATCCGACCCTCCTCGCTCACCGATGCTCCTCGAGCCTGGATACCCTCCAGGGCCCTCGATATGCTCCCGAGGGTGGCCTGTGCCTCCCGAGGGGGGTCCTGCAGAAGGAGCGCGCCCACAGCACTGCGTCGCTCCGAGGCTCGGCTCCTGGCCACATCTAGCGAAGGGGCCCAGGGGCACACAGATAAATAGACACAAATGACAGGATTCCTCCTCCTCCTCCTCGTCGTCCTCCTCCTCGTCCTCCTCCTCCTCCTCCTCCTCCTCCTCCTCCGCCTCCTCCGCCGCCACGTCTTCATTTACCTCCGACGTCTTATCACGTATCCCGTCACCCTCGAGGGCCGAGGTATCCAGGGTCGGCGGCACTGGCCGTAAAGCCTTAGCAATAAATAGACACAAATGACAGGATTCCACATATGTTCCCCTAGTTTTTGGATGTTCGTCTTCCCCCCCATTTCCCATAGTTTCGCATATTTCCTGGGGATCGACGATGAATTGTGTCTGTGTTGTTTGTCCCTCCTGAGTCTAGGTCCGGCATATGGGGCGTCAGTCAAGTGTCATGCCCCCTGGCGATTCTGCGGGACGCACAGAGACATCCTAGTACCATATGTCCTCCTTGGAGGCGAGCGTCCGACCCGAACATCTAGTACGCCCATCTTGTAGTGTCTCGTTTCCCGTGCGGCGTGGCCAGAAAGCGCCCGCCACGACGCATATACTATAAGATTGATCTGTGCTGGCGTCGCCCCTGGGGGAGCGACGGACACACAGTAGAAATACGTTGGGGTGACGCCGATTATGTACCGATGGGACCTTACCTAAAGCAAGTAGGAATGATTGATACGTGAAGTGTGATGGTGTCTCCGCAGATGACCTCACAATCACAACACTGCAGTGGAGAGAAGAGGCAGCCCTCATAGAGGACGCGTGCATTGAGGATTGCGCAGACGATTCTCCCCCCCTCCCCCGAAGTCATTCACCCAAGATTATGCACAGTAGCGAGGCAGCGATGACGGTGAGCCCCATCGCATGCACCCAATACTAGTTCGATGAGCACTGTCAAGGCCCTTCCCAGAGTTTGCTCCTCCAGTAAAAAATCTAAATGACCCAGAACCGAAATTTCCCAGTCACGAAAATCTGAAAGGGGGATGATCCCGAACAAGTCCGCATAAACCCGAGATCGGAGTTCAGGACGCGAGGGATCTCCAATTATACCTAAGTGAAATATGTTTCACAACTGGCTGCACTCCAAGACCCCCACTCCACCCCACCCACGCCCCACCCCACCCCACACCCCACCCACCGCCCAACGCCCCCACCCCCTCCAAAGAGGGGAGCTCAGAAAGATCAAGGCCATGCCACGCGATCCTCTCCGAAGATCCGCCACCGTGCCGTAGGCACTGAGTGGAGTATCCTCAGGTCCTCTCAAGACACCCATGCTGAAAATTGAACGTGCTCCCTAAGGCCCCCAGACCAAAGATTTCAATGATTCTTGGGCGTTTCCCGGTGCTCCTGGGCTTCCCTGTAGGACTTTTTCAAAGACCTCAGGTGAGCGGGTGGAAACCAAAGCGTCCAGTATGCCCTCATGTTGCCCCAGGGCTCCGTACTCTGGGCTGTCTTGGTAGTCTATTGCGCTGTTTTGGAGATCCCTTGGGGCAGGCCCCAGAGGACAAACTCGCTGAACAACGACATGCTGTTGTATGATTTCTGCATAGTCGCTTGTTCGGTCTCACGGGCACTTAAGACGGCCCAAGAGGCCCCGAAGACTCGCCAAAGAAGGGCCCAGAGTCCCCTCAAGAAAGGCTCAAAGAGGAGCCTAAGAAGCCCGACAACCGCAAGTCGCAGAAGCCGAATCCCCAGACCAACTCTGCCTACCAGCGGTCAGGGAACTTCGAGCAGAACGAAGCCATTGGGCTAACTGAGCTTGAAACACCATGCCCGGCTGGAATCAAGACCCAGGCCTCAGACGACACGTTTTCTCGAGTCGCTGGCCCTGGAGCTCTCTGCCCCCTTTGTCTGGGGCCGATGCTCCATCCCGATCGCCGTTTGACAGCCCCCGAGGCCGGGCCGGGCCTCGAACGAGGCCGAAGGTGCTGGCAACCTCTGGCGATATTGTTTGTCGAGATGCCAGAGATCTGGGAGTCACGACTGGGAGGCCGAGGGATGGAGAGCCGACCAGAGCGGTGGCCCACCACGCCTGCTTCCTCAGCTTCCTCTTCTTGCCATCCTCCACCAGCTTGTCGCGTTTTTGCCTCTCCTTCTCCTGGGTGGAGAAGGGGCAGGGGGGAAGGGAGGAAGGGGGGAGGGAGAGAGGACGAGAGGACGGAAGAGACGGAGGAGGCAGGGAGAGAAGGAGAAAGGAGAGGGAGAACACGAAGAAAATACGGGAGAGGGAGAAAAGGATGGGCCAGACAACTTCACACAACTGACAGCGCCACCAGGGCACACGTGCCTCCACCGACGAATCTGCCAGAAGGCGAAAACAAGGGGAAAACGGAGCGCTCTGGCCTGCCACAGGCCCTTGACGCAGCGGTCGTGGGGGCGGCCGAAAGAACACCTGAATGATTCACAGTGCAGGCACCACTCTCCGCAGAAGGCAACTGTGCACAAACTTCACGCCTGTCCTGGGTAAATCCTGGGCCCCGCCATGGTGCATAGACCCTCCTGGCCTCGAACAGGAGGGCGCATACACCATGCCAGGGCCCAAGATGTGCGTGACCACCCAGTGGTGCTGGTGCACGAGTCCCCTGATGTACGCCCTGCCCTGCGTGACTGGGTGCGGCAGGCCGCACGGGCAGCACTGCCGACGCATCCGACGCGGCGGCACCCGACGGCCCCCAGACTCCAGCCGCCCTCCCCCCTCCACCGCGGTTCGAGACTGGGGATAAAACAGGGCTAGGATCGGGATAAATCGCTCCAGAGCGTTCCGGAGCGCTCTCAGAGCGGTCTGGAACGCTCTGGAGCGGCCGCGGCGCCCAACACATCCTCCAAACCCGCCGATTCTCAGAGATTTCGGGTTATCCCGATCCGGTTTTGTCCCGATCTTCGCGTTGTTTTAGGGGAATGCGGGGGCGGCACCCCCGACGCGGTCCTGCGCGGGCCACTGCGCGCCGCCATGCGCAGGGCCGACCACCGACACGGGAAGAGAGAAGCGCTGCGCGGGCCGAGGCGGCGCCGAAGCCGGGAGGTGCCAGAGGGGCCCCTGGCACAAAGGTGGCCCCGGCCGTTGTGCAGAGAGGGCCAGGCGCCGGGCTGAGCATCCGAGAGGGCCTGGGCATGCATCACAGGTGCTCTCACAGCTGGAGTGGCGCCGTTCGTGTGGGTGCGTGTGCGTGTGATGTCGCCTCACGTCGCACGGTCGAATTGTAGGTCCGCACTCCACCCATTTGCCCGCCGAACCGCGGACACCACCAATCTGCTTAGCGGCGAACTTCTTTGCAGTTCCTTGTCCCCACCGCTCTGGCGGTTCTGTAGCCGCAGTTAGGGCTGCCACGCGCCTGCTCGCGCTGGTTGCTCATGGTGAGTCCTTGCTGCACTCACTTCGGCTGGTCTGACAGCCGCCACAGTTCTTTCAAATCTTTCTTGCGCTTGCTTGTCTAGCACCCCCTTGGTGATTCAGTGGCCGCCAATTCGCATCAGACTGCTCGCGTTTCAGTTTACTTCGAGTTGAGTTGCCTCCTCGGTTTTCTGGCCGCTGCACGGTTTGTTTGCATGTGCAGTTCCTCCTTCACACCACCCATCGTTGCGTTTGACAGTGCGCACGGTGTGTGCACTGTGCTTTCGACAACGCTCGATCGCAATTGGCACTTCTATCTGCCGTCCGCGCCTGAGGATCCTCTGCGCCGCCGACTTAAAAATGTGCGCGTGATGTCTTCCACGTGCACGTGCACTCCTGCGTTTGTTTTTCTGCTAGCCACTGCCATCATGCAGTCCACCCATCTACTACGACAGGTGGAGGTTCGATTAAGCGTGTCACAGTTTTGCGCTTCGCGACGGTGCCGTCACATCGCCGCTGGAGGAAATAGTGCGCGCACGTGCGTGTGTGAGCGTTCCTCGTGCTGACGCCCACCGACGCTGAGGGGAAGGCCGGACTACGAGTATTGGACGTGCGTGGGTAGGGTGGAGGACGTAGCGGCCACCCCCGTTCCTCCCCCTTCTCCTCCCCTCCCTCCCCGCCCTGCTCCCCTTCCTCCTCTCCCCTGTCCGTGCCTCCTCTCTCGCCTCCTCCGCCCTCCTCCCTCGGGGTTGGCTGGCACGTCCTCCGGGGGCGCCTACGCGCCTTGCGATCTCCAGGATCTGGTTCTGCGCCCAGGACCGTCCCACGTCCACTCCGAGCTGTCCTTGTGCCACGATGTTGGAGGCGCTGCGGGAATGGATGGAGTGTGTGAGTGCGTGCGCATTCCAGGATGGGAGGATGGGGAATGGAACGGGTTGGGATTGTGTGTTCTGGGCCCCGCGCGTAGACAGGGACTCATGCCACGCCACACTGGAGTCGGCATCGCGGCTGTGACGCGTCCTGCATGGGGGGCGCGACCGCCGTCCTCACCGCCCTACGCCCCGCCCCCAGGGCCGGGGTGCCGTGAGTAGCCTGGCCAACTACGACGGCGCGCCCACAGATCGCCGAGCCGGAGGGGGCAACTTCGGCGGCGGGTTCGCGTCGTAGTTGCGTTAGGCCCGTTAGAGCCCAAGCCTCCTGGCCGGGCCGATGGCAACGTCTCGGGCGGTCGGGGCGGTCCGTGGTTTTGTGTCAATTCAAATCTGCGACCATCCCCGCCCGGGATGGCCAACCCATGGCGATGGGGGTGTCTGGGTTCGCCCCAGCCCAGTCCCCCCCCCGTCGCCCCCTCGGCACCGCATTTGTCACGGCGTGGTGGGCGCGGTGGGCTTTTGGTTCGTCGACCGCACTGGCTACCCCACGCCGCTATATCGACTCAAGCCCCGCTGGGGGCGGGCGGGCGCGACTCGCTGCTTCCGACGGGCAAGGGCGACCAGGTCCCCCGGGGCCTTCCCCTATACGCCGCGCAGCGTAGGACCTGCTCCCGAGCGATAAACGGGGGCCGGCGCGGCGTCTTGTTTCGCGGGTGCGCTGCGCGCACTCGATCCTTAAGGTGTCTCTCCGGGGCGGGATACCTTGGATACCTCTTACATCCCTGGCGCCTTGCGATTACGCGCGACGGTGAGGGCAGGGCTGGGCGGGGGGCAGGGGGGGAAGCACATCGCGCCTTGGCCGAGCGAGGCCTGTCGTCGCCAATAGGCCGCCCTTTGCACCAGGGCTCGGTCTTGCACCGTCCCTTTCGGGCGGGGGTCCTGAACCCCGAAGACGCGGGGTCTTGAGCCCGTTAGCTCACGAGGCCGTGGCCAGCGCATGCGCGCGCGTTCCTTGCTTGGCAAGGTCAGGGCCAACACAGGGCAGAGGCATCGGGAGGTGGACGTGATGTTGGGTTCGTGCGTGTGCGCCCGCGGTTGCGCGCGCGCGTGGACGCTCTGCGCGTTTGGCGAGGGCGCCAATGGCGGACTGGGTGCACCTGTAGGCGGGCGCGCGCACATGTCTCAAGAGCGCCAATACTCGATCTCTTGCGGGCGCCTGCATCATCGGCATGTTCTTCCAGGACGGGCGCCGCAAGGTCCGACATTCCGTCGAGGCGCCTTCATGGCACGGGCTGGGGCCTCAGGTAGCCCGGGCGGCCCCTCCGCCCGTCACTCCTGGCCCTCTCCCCCCCCGTCGCTGGCGCCCTGGGGTTTCCGGGGTGAGGTCCGCCATGGTGGGGCGGAGGATTGGGCCCCCCCTCGTGCCTTTCCCAGCGCGGGGCCCCCGCCCCCGCCTCGCCGCGGCGCACTTCACCCCCCGGGGATCAAGGCTTCGGACCCGCGTCCTTCTGGAGAGGCGAGGGGCGGCCTTAAGGCCTACATCCCCTCCACTTCCAGTTCCAGCTCCAGTTCCATGATGGCGACCATCGGCATCTTCCTCCAGGACGGCTTGAATGGCTCCGCCCAGGGCGACTGGGCGCGCCGCACGGGCTCTCCGCTGCTGGCCCTCGAGAGCGAGCTGGGAGTGCAGGACCCGGTTGGCAGGGATCCAGCTAGGCTCACTGCTGGCGGCAGCACGGAGAACTCCGCCCGCCGGCGCTCGACTGAGCTGAACCACGGCGGTGTGTCCACACAGGCGACGACGAGCTACGTCGACTCAGATCACCGGAATGCCGCCAGGGTACCCGTTGCCGTCCGCTGGCCGGAAGATCGCGGACAATCCGAATGACCTCGAGGCGACCTCCGAGGCTCCCGCGGCGTGCTGGGCGCAGATCGTGGCGCGCGGCGCCTCCAGCGAGCTGCCCCAGGACCAGTCCGATGGCCCCCCTGCCACGGCGGGCGATCTCGAGAAGCAGAGGGAGTCGGCGGCTGGGATCACTGAGATCGCCAACGGTCGCCTGGCCACGGTGGCGATCATCGGGATGTTCTTCCAGGGCGGTTCGACCCGCCCCCCTACTGCCACTGGCGACTACGGCCTCAAGGCGTTGACGTCCAGCGACGCCGGGGATGAGCAGAAGCAGTCGGCGGTCGGCAGGGACCCCGCCGGCCGCGCGGGGGGCGGCATCACGGAGAACTTCGCCCGCTGGCGCCAGATCACGCTGCAGCGGCGCGCCGCCAGGGTGCCCGCCGCCACCCGCTGACTGCAAGTTCGCGGACACCACGAACAGCCTCGGCGCGACCTCCAAGGTGCCCGCGGCGGGCCGGGCGCAGTTCCTGGCGCACTTCGCGCTCCGCCAGCTGCCCCAGGACCTGCCCGCGCGCTGCATCGCCGCGGCGGCGAGCCCGGCCCCCCGGCGCTCGCGCCCTTCGACGCCGGGCAGAAGCACGAGAAGCGTGCAGCCGAGATCGCCAACATTCGTCGGGCTGGCATGATCGCGACCATCGGCACGTTCATTCAGGACCAGTCCGCCGGCCACGTCGCCGCGGCGGGCGGCTTCGGCCCCCGGGCGCCAACACCCGGAGACGACGGGGAGAAGCAGAGGACGCCGGCGGCTGAGATCACCCACAGGTCGCTCCACACCGGCTCTCCGCCGCACGTGGTCGAGAGGGAGCTGGGCGCGCAGGGTCCGCGGAACATCTGGGACCCCATCGGGCTCGCGGCAGATGATAGCACTGAGGGCCTCGGTGTCAGGCTGAGAGCGGCTCCCAGGGGCTCCAGGGACAAGCCCCTTGCGATGCTGCGCACCTCGCCGAGAGTCCTGAGGCGCCTGGATCGCCCCGCCCTGGCCCCGGTTCCTCACCCCGCCACCCCAGAGGAGGGGGCCGGAAGCGGGCGACGTCGAAGACGGGGATCGTCACCGCCCCCCCTGCCACCCCTGCCCATGTCGGCGAGAGCTGTTCCGGGGCGCCCGGCTCGACCCCCCCTGACAGAGGACGGTAAACAAAGAACGGCGGCATCTTGCGATCCAGAAGACGACGCCTGCGACTCCCCCTCTCAGGCGGCAGCAAGCCCTCCGTGCGCCGGGGCGCTTCCGCTGCGGAATGCGCCCCTGGCTGCACGGAGGGCTCATTCATTTTCTAATCGCACACCTATTCGGTGCCCCTCCCTCTCCCTGCAGCCAGCCCGAGGACGCAGACAGCTGCTCCCCCACGGACGGACGAGACAAACGTCGCCATGAGCAGTCCACCTCTCGAGACGTTGGCCTTGGAAGCGCCTGGCGATTGCCCTGACGCAGTGACTCCCCCCTGCCAGAGTGGGAGGCCCTCTCTGAGCCCCGAGAGGCGCGCGGGCAGCCCGAGGGCGCAGACCGCCGCCCCCACCTCGCGCAGACGGAGCCGAGGACGGCACCTGTAGTCCCCCTCTCGAGATGACGGCTTCAGGAGCGCCAGGCGACAGCGCCGACGCTGCCACTTCCCCCGCCGGACCGCTCCTCCTCTTCCTCCGCCTCCTCCTCCTCCTCCACCTCCTCCTCCTCCTCCTCGTCCTCCTCCTCCTCCTCGTCCTCCTCCTCCTCCTCCTCCTCCTCCTCCTCCTCCTCCTCCTCCTCCTCCTCCTCCTCCTCCTCCTCCTCCTCCTCCTCCTCCTCCCCCTCCTCCTCCTGCTCCTCCTCTTGCTCCTCCTCCCCCCGAGCTGAGGGGCGTTCACGAGCGCCGACTTCCGGAGTCGCCGAGAGCTCCCGCGGGGCGCCTGGCTCGCGCCGCCCGACGACGGCCCCGCCGAGCTGCCCTTCGACTGCGCGCGCCGCCGAGAGCTCCCCATGGGGTGCCCGGCTCGCCCCGACGGGCCGTGGCCACCACGCGCCGCCTCCCCAACGGAGGAGATGACAGACAGGGAAATTGGGCCGTCGGGGGCCGCCAACACACCCCCAACGCAGGCGCCGCCTTCCCACGGGGGCCCTCTCCACGCCGCTGCGCCCCTTGCCGAGAGCTCTCCCGGGGCGCCCGCCTCGCGCCTGCCCGCGACGGCCTCGCCGAGTTGCCCCTTCAAGAGGTTCGCGGCGAAGACCACCAGCAACCCCACGGCCACGAGCCCCCCTGGCGCCGGAAGCGGGGAGCAGGCGTGGGGCACGAGGGCCGCCCACGACCACCCAACCACGGACGCCTGCACCGACGCGAAGCAGCGTCGCCCCCGCGGCGGACCAACGCGCCCCGAGTCAGGACCACCCCTGCCAGACCCGCATCGTCCGACCCGGCGGTCTACCAGGCCCCCTGCCCCCGGGGTCCCGCTGGGCCCAGGAAGGGCGCGCGCCTGCCGTCCGACTCTTCTTCGGAGGCGCCTCGGCCAGGGCGCGCGGCGGCACTAGGGCTGCCAGCACAGAGAGAGGGCCCCCTTCGCCGCGGAAGGATTGCAGAACGGAGGGGCACAACCCCGGACGCCACAAGCGCCCCTCGACGCCACGGCTGGAAGCCAGTACCCCAGCGCACCGCCTCACGCATGTGGACCGCGCGCCGCTGCCCAGACGGGGCGGCGCCTGGAACCACTTTGCGTCCTGCCGAGGCTGTGCTGACCCGGCCGCAGGGCAGCGCTGGCGGGCATCGCGACTGGCACCCCTCCTGTTCCACGGCCACTTCGCCCCACCCCCCCGTCCATGTGGCGATGAACGCTGGCAGCTCGAGCACCGAAGATTACCACTCGAACCCCCCAGGGCGGGGAGAATGCCGCCCCTGTCCCTGGCGTCCTCTGCCACGAACCCCTACATGCCATCGAGGCCCTGGCCGCCACAATCAAGGACATACAGGGAGCAGGCGGCGGACCCAGTGCGGCCTGGGCCACGCATTGCTATCAGCGCGGTGGGGGCAACAGGGACCCCAGCCGACACGACGCCGCCTTCCTCCGCAGCTTCCTCCGCTGCCTGGCCTCGTCGCCTCGCTGATTCTCTTGCGGCCGCACCGAGGGGCCGCAGCAGGCGCTCCATGCGCCGTGGCGCTTCTGCTACGGGATGCGCCCCTGGCCGCAGGGTGTGCTCCGTAACCATCATCACACCTGTACGGTGTCGCCCCCCTCTTGCCTGGTTTTCACGTCTCACATCCATCCACCGGCAACTGGTGCGCTGGATGCTGCCGCTCTCCTGCGGCGCCTTGCCCCGCCATCGCGGCTTGCGCCTAGTAGGCCCTCGGGACTCGGCGCGCGCCCTGCCCCGGTGGCCTCTGTGGCCCACGTCGCTCCCCCTTGTGGCGCGGTACTCCCTTTCCGCTTCGCCCGCCACCCCGGGCAACACTCGCTGCACTGCCACTGTCGTGCCCCTCTGCCTGTCTTCCAGGCCACCCACCCGCACCCCTCTTCTGGTGTTCTGAACGCTGCCGCCTCCGCGGCACCTTGCACCGCCGCGGGCCTGCGCCCCGTTGGCCCTTAAGGTCTCGGTGCTCGCCCTGTCCCCCTCCCCTGGACCCGCCGCTCCCCCAATGTGGCGTGGCCTCTCCCGCTTCCTCCCGCCCCTGGCTTGCGCTTGCTCCGCCGGGCCGTCACCGCTCGCCTCCACGCCCTGCGCCTCGTGGGCCCCCCCTGGCCTCGGCGCTCTCGCCCTTGTTCTGCCGCGCCTCGCAGGCCCCGAGGCCTCGGCGCGCTGGCTCTTCCCCCGGGCCGCACCCATCAGCTCGATGAGGCGAGTCTCCGGTTCGCGGAGGAGGAGGCGGAGGAGGAGGCGGAGGAAGAGGAGGAGTAGGAGGAGTTCGCTCGTGTTCCTCCCCCACCAGCCGCCCAGTCCACTGGGCTGCGTTCCCCCCAGCTTCAGTTCCCTGCAGCTCAGTGCAGCTCAGTGCCGGCGCTGGCTCCCCACCTCGGCGCTCCCCCTGCCTCAGTCGGCGACTCTGGGTGGGCCCGGCTTCCTCTCTTCCTGTGGCGCCGGGGCTGCTCCTCCTCCCCCATCTGTGCATGGCGGCCCTAATTTGCATACAGCGTGTGCCCTGTTGCCCATCCGCCGGAGCAGTCACCCTCTGCCCAGCCGCCGACGCCAAAAAATGTGTGAGTTGTATGTGGTGGGACGCTCTCCGGCTTTCACCTGCGCCGCCTGGTCTTTTCACCCTGGTCCGCCTTCTTGGCCCCCGCCTCCCGCGCCCCTCTCCCTTTCGACACGCACCGCCCAATGTTCTGTTCGCCATCGGGCGCTTCCGGGAGTCTCGGTCTTGCCGCGCGCTTCGCAAGGATGCGAGTTCTAGTTGCTGGCATCCCCACTGCAATACTGCCCCAGCCCCAGAGAACATTGGCACGTCAGAGTGAAAACTGCGTGTGATAGGGGTGCTGTGTGCACGGAAGCCCCCTGCTCGGGGCCGTTCCTGTTCTGGGTGCAGGTGTCACCTCCTGTTTGCAACAGCGAACCCACCGCCGTGCCGTGGGCACCGTGCCGAATTGTTCAAGGTCTTCGGGTCCTCTCCAAAATCCTCCCGACAGGCCGCTCGGGTCATGCCAGTGGGACTGCGCACAATCCACTTTCGACTGCTTCTCGAAGGCAAAGTCCAATCAATATGCCACCAAGGGGGCTCCAAAGCGGCCCCAGTGCAAGCAGGATAGCCACCAAGACACCCCGAGAGATCACCTCCGAGGGACCGCCGAGGAAAGGAACCTGATCTGACAGCTGGTCTTGATGCTTTTCGCGCACGCGCCTTACGGTGCGAAGACCGCCCCAAGAGGGCTCCAGATGCGTCAAAGAGCGCTCCAGGGCGGCCCGAGCGAAGAGCGCCAAGACGGCCGGAGAACGGCCTAGGGGGCCCCAAGAGGACTCCAAGAGCGGCCACGCGAGCCTCAATTGAGCGCTCCCCCGAGAGCAAAAACCTCTTCCCTTTCGCACCGACGACACTCCGGGGAAGCAGAACTCAACAGCCGTCGGACAAATTTTACATCGATTGCCGGCCAGCAATGCATCGCGCTTGCACCAGGGCAGAAGCCAGTGGTCAAGTCTTGTCGGGACGGCCTGCGAGGCGCAGGGCCCGGAGAGCACCCTCACTCGTCGAGCTTGGCCGCCGCAGCCCACGCGACAAAGTCCAGCCGGTGTTGACTCCAACTGTCCCGAGCAGCCAGCGTTCGACACTCGCCGACATCATGCCCGATGCGGAGGCCATTGATGTGCTCTTCTAGGCGGCGAGCGAGAAGGGAAAGTGAGAAGGAGAAGGCCCTCTCAGAAGGCCCGGGGTCTTCCGAGCCTACTGAGAAGGGCCGCCTCCACTCACTTCCCCCCCTCGCTCGCTGCGCCGAAGCATCCAACTGCCACATAGCGGCTTTCTGAGACGCAGTGCGCTGAGACCGTTTGCGGCACCCTGCCACTGAGCATCGAGCCACTCCGAAACTTGCCACACCCATTCTCACCTGTCTCTTGGCTGCTTCGCCTGCCCAGCGCCTGGGGAGCCAGGCTTTGGGTGGCCTGCTGTTCGACGGGGGTCAGGTGAGCCATACTGTCTTGGTAGGCGAACCTGCGCATGCAGAAGTACATAACAACAAAACGACATGCTCCAGGATAGGAGGAGGAGGAGGAGGAGGAGGAGGAGGAGGAGGAGGAGGATCCCACGCCACTGAAGGGACGAGGAGGAGGAGGAGGAGGAGGAGGAGGAGGGCCGGGGTCCTTTCGCTTCTCCTCGGCCTCCCTCTCGGCCTGGGCCTTCTTCTCGGCCTGCAGCTCCTCCTCTGTCTTCCTCTTCCTTGTGGCCTCGGCCCGGCCGCCCGGGGGGCAGGGGCCCGGAGGGGCTCGGCACGCCGCTCGCGCGCATGGCGGACGAGGGGGGGAGGGAACGACGAGAGGGAGGCGAGAAAGAGAAGGCCTTGGATTCGAGACGTCACGACGGCCGGCCTCTTCGGTGTCCTCGGCCGCTGGGGGACGCTGCCCCACGCCAGGAGCGTCAGAGGACGGCTCGGGGTGAAAAGCCAGCTCCCGGGAAAGAGGCCGCGACCCTCGAACGCCCGCGTCGCGAACAAAAATGCGTCGGATGAGGGAAGGGGGGGAGGAGGAGGAGGAGGAGGAGGAGGAGGAGGAGGAGGAGGAGGAGGAGGAGGAGAAGGGTCATCATCATCATCATCATCATCATCATCATCATCATCATCATCATCATCATCATCATCATCATCACCACCAGCAGCAGCACCATCATCGTCGTCATCATCATTATCATCACTGCGTTTCGCCTGACACTTCCTCACCACGTTTGACTCTGAAGCTCAAAAATTTGCAACGGTTTCACAGATGGAGGGCGGGTGGTTTTCAAAATGTGACTCTCGCCTTAGCGCGGCGCACATTCGCTTTGAGAATGTGCAAGGGCTTCACGGATTGAGGGCGGTTGGTTTTCAAAATGTGGCTCTCGCTTTCGCGCGGCGCACAGTCTTTGTAAGAATTTGCAAGAGCTTCACGGATTGAGAGCGGGTCGTTGATGTGACTCTCGCCTTAGCACGGCGCATTTTTTAGAATTTGCAAGAGCTTCACGGATTGAGGGCGGGTCGTCTTCAAAATGCGGCTCTCGCTTCGGCGCGGCGCACATTCGTTTTCAATACTTGCAAGTGATTCACGGATTGAGGGCGGGTCGTTTTCAAAATGCGGCTCTCGCCTTGGCGCGGCGCACATTCGTCGTAAATATCTGCAAGAACTTCACGGGTTGAGGGCGGCTCCTTTTTCAAAATGTGGCTCTCGCCTTTGCGCCGCGCACCTTCGTTTAAAAAATTGCAAGAGTTTCACGGGTTCCCATCATCAACGTACCAGAAATAATGTTTTGAAAGGATTCCAGATTACGCGGGCGCAGCAGTTACGTTGATTCCCAGTGTGCGTTGGAATCCCCAAAACCATGTTGTGGCATGCTGCAGGATCTTCAAGCGGTTGTCTTCCAATGAGGCAGTTCCTTCTATGGAAATGAATCGTTGTAGGGGCCTATGAAGAGAGAGCTTGGAGGGGGGGTTATTCCAGCATCGCTGATGCCTCTTGGGTTTACACTGGTCCTCCTCCTCCTCCTTCCTCCTTCCTCCCTGCCTCCATCTCCCTGCCTCCTCTTTCCTCATCCATTATCACTCCACCCCTGTCCCCCCTCCCCCACTGACAGACCCCGCTGTCGTCATCATCTCTACCAGCATTATGATTGCATGATCCGCTCACTTATCCCCTGACTCTGTGCGGATGATGTCCCGCCATCTCCGCGCATTGCCCACACATGAATGTGATACTCACTTGTGCTTCTTACGATCCGATCGATTATCGGTCCTTCGAAATGGTGTTGCCGCTGCAGCGTAGGCCTCATGTTAAGATCGGTGCTCTGCTCCCGTTGTTCAAGATGGCACTCCCGCCTCAGCCTCGGCCGCATTTCAGGATCCGAGTCCTTCCTCATCATTGTCGCCCCCTCCTTTCCCCTTCTCCGCCTTCCCCTGGTCATCCTGCTCCGCCCGCTCCTTGTCACTCCGCCTCCTACAGCTGCTGTTCCGCTTCGTCCTCCTCCTTCCTCATCCTCATTCTCTTCCTCCTGCTCATCCTCCTGCTCACCCGCCACCTCCTCCTCCAACGCACGCAGTTCCCAGTGTGCGACTCCGCATGACACGATGAGGTCTCTTTTGAAGTCCCAAGTCCTCTATGACACGCGTCGGCGGGTAGAGGAAGCATGCTCGCAGTGGGAAGGGATGGCTGGGAGGGTAGGCCGTCGAACATGGACCGAGCCCACCTAGTTTGACAATTACGCGTTATGCATACTACTCTCCCGTCTCCTGTTGCCCTGCCTGGGAAACCTTCAATCCTATCCGCACATGCGCTTCTGCGCACCGCGCTGCAAAATGCGTTTCCCATGGTGTTAACCCTCCGATTGTTTCCAGTCCGTCAAAACGGTGCTCCCGCTGCAGCGCTGGCCATGCCTCTGCGCTTCTGGTCTGTCCAGGCCATGCTCCCGCTGCAGCGTTGGCCTCCGTGCCGGATCGACGCGCTGCTTCCGCCGTTCCGCATGTCGCTCCAGCTCCAGCGCGCCTCCCGCTTCTGGATCCGAGAACTGCCTCGGCACTGCCGCACCGCTCCTTCTCCCTCCCTCGCCCTCCCCTCGCCATCCTGCTCCGGCAGCGTCTCCCACTCCTGCTCCTGATGCTGGTGTTGCTTCTCGTCCTCCTCCTTCAACGTCCTCACCTTCCACCTTATCATCCTCCTTCTCAACCGCGACGTCCTTCTCCTCTAATGTACGCAACTTCCCTCTTCCGGTTGCATGCAGCACGATGGAACCATTCTTGCAGTTCCAGGTCCGCCATGCAATGCGTCGGCGAATAGAGAAACATCTGCATAGAATTTCCTCTTCACGATCCTCGTCATTCAACCTTCTCCTCATCCTCAACTTCCGCCTCTTCCTTACCCTCCTCATCGCCACATGCTCATCACAATCGCCATGGTAGCTACCAATTTCAGCATTCCAGACATCAGCGACATCATGATCATCATTGCCATCAAAGCCATCAACAACATCATCAACTACAACGACACCATCGCCACCAGCAACGCCAACAGCGACAATAGCGTCATCACAATCATCACCAACAACAGAAACAATCAGCCTAAGACCGTTCGCTATCATATGCTCGCATGTCAACCAACATGTAGATTCGAAACCCTCGATACCCACCCTCTTTGTCTTCGATCGTATCTCCTTTGGGGCCAGGCCTCCCTTCCCTACCACGTGTAAGTGGCGCAGCCCCTCGAACAGAAAGACGAGAAAGAATAGAAAAAGAAGAGAGCGAAGAGGAAGGGAGTGGGGAAAATGAGGGACGAGGAAAGGGGGCAAGAGGGAAGGAGAGATGGAGGAAGAGAGGGCTTAGCGAGAGGGCTTAGCGAGAGGGGATGGCAAGGAAGCCCCAGACCAGAGCGCGGTTCCTGAGCACAGTGTGAGGACGTCCCGAGCGAAAGCGCCAATCCAGAGTGCGGAGAGAGCGACTCGCGAATAAGTTGCAAAGAAGTCTTAGGTAAGACCGCGACTCTGGGATAGACTGCATGGAAGTCTCGATCGAGAACGCGATTCGTCAACAAATGTTAGCCAACGTAGCCCCAAACAGTGCGTTCTAGAATACTCGATGATGCAGTCTATGTGGTGGAAGCCATGTCGTGCATGCTATGTGGTGGAAGCCATGTCGTGCATGCTATGTGGTGTAACATATGTGGTGTGAGCTAAACTTGTGTAACCTACGCAGTGCTGTATGTTTGGTGTTCTCTATGTGGTGTAAGCTATGTGGAGCAGTACGTGTGGTGCAGTCGAAGTGGTGCTATATACGTGGTGCAAGCTGTGTGCTACAAGCTATTTGGTGTAAGTTATGTGGTGTAGCCTACGTGGTGCAACATGTGGTGCAAGCTATGTGGTAGCATGTGGTGGAAGCGATGTGACGCAAGCTACGTGGTGCGTGGTGTGAGCTATAGTGTGCAACATGTGCAGTGCAATATATGTTGTGTGATCTATGTGACGTAAGCTGTGTGGTGCAATATACGTGGCGCAAATTATCTGGAGCAACATACGTGGTGTCAAGCAAGCTATGTAATGCAATGTATGTGGCGCAACCTATGTGGTGCAATTTGTGTGGGGTGCTAACTACGTGATGCAAGCTATGTCGACGAGGCGACGGGGACGGCGACAGCGACAACAAGCGGGCCGAACCGACACCCAGGCCTGGCAATGGCGGCGACAAGGTGGCGGGGGCGGCGACGGCGACAACAAGCTGGCCGAATCGACATCCAGGCCCAGGCGACAGGCAACGACGAGGCGGCAGCGGAGACGGCGACGGGGACAACAAGCTGGCCGAACCGACATCCAGACCCAGTGCATTCTAGACGAAATAAGAGCCCCTAAGTGCAAGCACTCTCTGGGGAACTGTGAGGAAGCATCCGGCGGGAGCCGCTGTGGTGGGGGCAGGGGCACAATCTGACGCCAAGTGCTTCCCCTTTTAAGAGACAGGGTGCGAGCCCGGCGAGTGGCGCTTCAATCGAAAAACACATGTGTTACTGGAGGGGGAACCCGCAAGAATTAGCCTCTATGAATGGAAATTCGGCCACAAGTTCTCCTCCTCCTCCTCCTCCTTCTCCTCCTCCTCCTCCTCCGCCTCCTCCTCCTCCTCCTCCTCCTCCTCCTCCTCCTCGTCGTCCTCGTCCTATTCATGCAACGCAGTCTGGAGGAGGCCCAGACCCCGATGTCCCGCCGCCCGGGAGGGGCAGGCGGGCGGGCCCAGCCTCCCAGAAGTCCGACTCGCCGCCGCCCTCGGGGCGGGGCGCGCGCGCGCGCCAACGACGATGAGCAAGTTGCTGCTTCACCCCAGGAAGCATTTAAGAAACCCCCCGGCGATATCGTAGCACCGCATTTTTTATTCGATATTCCGAAGGGCCGAAATAACCGAACGATAGCTGTAGCACCCGGACACGATGATGATGATGATGATGATGATGATGATGATGATGATGATGATGATGATGATGATGATGATGATGATGATGATGATGATGCGGATATGGATGATGGTGCGGAAGGGTTATCGATTTGCCGGAGGGGGGGGGTTCTTAAATGCTTCCTGGGCTTATCTTTCCAACCTTGGCGCAGCAGAGCAGAAATTTATGAACGACATTGGGCGCATTGAGCTCGACCGCCACGGCGAGGTGCAGCTCGGACGGGCGACGAGTGCCGCGCACCTGGCGCCCTCCGTGCACGATCACACGGTCGCTCTGGCCGGCTACCGCTGAAATCGCAACAGACATAAAAATGCTAGCCTGGCGAGGGATTCAACCTACCAGAAACAGACTGGAGGGGGACCCAACGATGATGAACAAGTACGGGCATCCTTTAGCAATGCCCGCCGCTTCGCTCTTGATGAGGAGACGAAGGCTAGTTTAGCATGCAGGTTCAGAGGAGTCCAACATGTTTTTCGCCGTTTGGGTGCCCCTGGGACCCTCCACGGCCCCTGGGACCGCCCAAAATTAACTCGGGGGACTCGCGTTCCTCAGGAAACCGTTCCGTCCCTGCGAGGACTACTGAGTCCGATTACATGGCTTTGAGGCCAGAGCAAGGCGGGGGTTAGACCAGATAGGTCAGGCTGAGACCAAGGATATACTATGGCCGATGCCGAGCCAGCCTCCCAGGAGTTGCAACCTTGTTGTGGGAGCGTAGTTACATGCAACATGTGTGTCAAAAACTGCCGAGTCGCGTATATGGTTCGTACAATCGTACCATGGCAGCCATAGCTCTGGGAACAGAGAAGCGTCGAAGTCCCGGCGGCACACTGTCGCTGCAAGTGTTTCTTACTTTCTCGGTGTCTTATGCAGCTGCTCTCCGTAGTTACTGCAATCGGGTTCCAGAGGAGCGAGCGAAAAGGCAGCAGCTGCGCGAGCGTAGCGACAGCGGAGCCAATACACGTGACGGCATGCCACGGAATCGACATCCACGGCAAAATCTCAGCAATTCCAACGTATCCAATGCGATTCGAAGCTATCTGGGCACGTGAGATGCTTGCCTGTCCCCCGCTGCCTGTCCCAGGGGTGCTCTACATGGTCTTCAACGCACATCTGGGGCCCAGAAAGGCCCCAGAAATGGCCCACTGATCCCCAATGTAGCCCAGGGTAACCAAATGGGGGGGCCGAAAAGCGCCCGCAGAACACACATCCCAGTATTAAAGATGTATGCCTTTTGTGCTCTGGGTGGCGCTTTGGGGGCTTCGTCAGGGAAGACGTTGCGAAAATGTCTCGAGCGGGAGCCCGAATTTAGCGTATCCAGACCACCCAAGAAGTTGTCCGTCGGCGGCGAGGCAGAGTCGCTGCACCAGCGATAGAAACCCCCCCAGGCCACTTAAAGGGGTATCTAACATTTTCGTTGGTTTTTCTCCGACTCCCCTTCGGCGAGTTCAGCGCTCTGATCGTCTGTTCGTCTGTCGCTCGCGCACGAGCGGCCCGCAGCTCGAGAGGGGCGCGACCAGCGCTCTCCGTATCTACTCGGGTGCTGTTGGATTCTAGCACCCCCTACATGTCGTCTATGAAGTTTTCGCGAATATGGTAATCGGACCCTCCTGCGACGACGGCGATGTGTCTTTCGATATGCCAGCGTCGGGGCTGCGATCGCAAATCCCCCCCCGAAGAGGAATCGGTGTCGTGTTTCCAATATCCCACCCTCCTAATCGACCAATCGCCCGCAAGGTATCCGACGTCGCACCCAGGAAAAGTTGGACGAATGTGACTATCCAGACGTCTTCTGATGCACCGGAGCAGGCCGCCCCGGTGAAAAGACACTGGATTGCACGCTCGTGGTGGTGATTCTCAAGCGCGGGCTTGTCTTTTTCTGGTGCGCCGGAAAAGACCACAGTGCCCCCAATGTATGAATTAATCTACTCCGGTGGCCTTCTCTGGCCTCTGCACCGGCTGGGCGAGACGATGTTCTGGTTCACCGGAACGGCCCATCCGTGTGCAAAAACCATGTGTTCGACGCATCTGTGAGGAAGTTTTCGGTGCGAGCACGATTTTTTCGGTTCGCAAATCCCAAAGTCTCCCACGCGTGTGGATTTACATGCTCCGGTTGCATTTTTCAGTGTCTACACCGCTTGGCGATTATATTAATGTTAAGGGACCGGAACTTGGCTCCCCGCCCCCTGCCGTTGTGCCCACCCAAGCCAATGGCGTGCAGCAAAACCTTGCACGGGGCCCCGTGCGCCTAACGGGGAGGGGGGGTATCTATATCAACCCGCTCACACGTGACGCTCCCGCATCCTGGACTGATGATGCTGATGACGATTTTGGAATCCCGAAACGGTGCGGTGACAGACCGTGCGGTGACCTCGAAATCCCCCAAGACCTCACCGCACGGTCCGTCAACGCACGGTTTTGGGACCTCGGATGCCCCAGTCGCCCGAGACGTCCGTGGAGAACGCCCCGAGTCCCAAAACCGTGCGGTGACCCCGAATCCCCACCGACTCACCACACGGTGTGGTCACCACCCCCGTTTGGGGGCCCCCGAGACGACGCTGATCATGAAGATCAATGCTCATGAGGATCTTCGCGAAACTTTCGTCAATGGTCAGCAGTGCTACGGGCGGCCACCGAGAAAGGCCGGTGGGGCGGGGCCGGCAGGCGGGGGCAGGGCGCTGCCCGCGGCGGCCGGCCGGCGCGGCGCGGAGATCTCACAGGAGGGCGGGGGGAAGCAGGGGGTCCTCCTCCTCCTCCTCCTCCTCCTCCTCCTCCTCCTCCTCCTCCTCCTCGTCCTCGTCCTCCTCCTCCTCCTCCTCCTCCTCCTCCTCCTCCTCCTCCTCCTCCTCCGCCTCCCTCCGCCAGTCCTCACGCGGCAGCCCGCCATCCCTGTGCTTGAAGATCTTCGGGCCCTCAGTCGCAGTTGGCGCCCGTGCAGACCTTGGCCCTCGGCGCCGGCGCGCGGCGCTGCCGCGAGCCCTCCTTGGCCACCATCGCCCGGAGCCTGGCCACCTCATCCTCGAGCTGGGCGGTGCGGGACGCCAGCTGCTGCCCCTGGATGCTCGAGTTGCCGATGACCTCGAGCGCCGCGAGCACCTGCGACATGCCCGCGGCGTGGCTCTTCTGCGCCAAGGCGAGCTCGCGCTCCAGGCGCTCGGCCCGCACGGGCGAGGGCTCCTCCTCGGCGCCCGGCCCGCTGCCCGGTGGCGGGCCCCCGCCTGGCAGGTACTGCGCGGCGCAGCCCCCTGCGGCGGCGAAGGACGGCGGCGCCCTCTCGGCCCGGCCGCCCACCGCGGCGGCCAGCGTGCACGGCTCGAGGCGGAGCTTGGAACCGAGCACGGGGCGGTCCGGCCCGCTGCCGAGACACAGGGACGGGTCGTCGGCGGCGCGCACCGTGCCGTCGGCGGCGGTCTCGAACCTGGTGACGGTCTCCAGCGGGGTCAGGGCGCACGGCACCAGCCGCGCCTCCTTGCCGCGCCCGTTGGCCCCGACACACAGCGACGGCGCCCCCTGCGGGCGGATCTCGGTGGCGGCGGAGCGCTCGAAGCTGAACAGCTCGTGCGCGTGCGGGCCGCACTGCCAGAAGAGGACGGGAGTGCCCTCCGCGACCTTGCCCCCCTCGGCGCCGATGCAATATCCAGGGTTGGCGCCTGGCCGCGCGGTGCCGTCCCTGCGGAGCGCGAGGCGCTCGCCTGGGGCCGGCTCGCCGCCCTCGGAGCGGATCTGCACCTCGAAGCCGCCCGCGGGGCCCAGGGCGCCCACCCAGTCGTCGGTCGCCATGCGCCAGCGCCACCACTCGGGGCTGGGCGGCTGCGCGGGGATGAGGTGCCCCGCCTCGTGCCAGCGGCGCGCATGCCCGAGAACATCGCAGTAGTACGGCTTCGGAGCGTCCCCGCCGCCGCCGCCCGCCACAGCCGGGGGCGGCGGGGGCGGGGGCGGGCAGTCGGGGGTGCCGTCCTCGCCCGAGGTGCCGCAGGGCAGCAGGAGGCCTCTCGTCTTCAGCATGAGCTCCTCGTCACACTCTGCGAAACACCACTCAGTGGGTGGGCCATCGTGCACATGACCGCAGAACGGTCCGAAGAACGTCGGCGGAGTGACCTCGCCCTTCGAGTTGAGCCCAACGTTGCTTCTCTTCCAGACCCGGCCGTTGATCCAACGCGCGTGCCAGGGCGTGTACACGCCCTCGACGCGGCTCGCGAGGGGTCCAGGCACCTCCTGCACCTCCAGGACCTGCTGCCCCGCGGCGCACCCGCACGCCCACAGCCACACGGCGGCCTGTGCCCACATCGGGGTCAACACGCGCTGCGGCGAGCCTCGCGAGATCGCCCACGGGAGATCGGGACCTCTCCTGTGCTGCAGCCGCGCGGGAGCGGGGACTTCTTGAGCCTCCTCTTTGCGGACCAAAGGGGTATCTAACATGATTGTCCCGAGCTGGAATATGGAATCATGTGCTTTCACGTGTCCAAGCCACCCAGGGGGGTACCTAACATGGTTGTCCCGAGCCGCAACCACATGCTTTCACGTGTCCAGGTCACCCAGGGGGGGATGTCTAACATGGTGGTCCCGAGCTGGAACCACGTGTTTTCACGTCTCCAGGCCACCCATAGCTGTATCTAACATGGTTGCCCCCAGCTGGAGCCACGTGTTTTCACGTGCCCAGGCCTTCCAGAGGGGTTCGTACCTGGTGGCCCCGAGCTGGAACAATGTCTTCACATGTCCAGGCCACCCAGAAGGGGTATCTAACATGGGTGCCCTGAGCTGGAGCCCCGTGCTTTCACGACCACTTGTTCGATATCTGTCCCTGGGTGGCCTGAACACGTGAGAAAAAAGGTCCCCTAACGCCCCAGAGCGGGACAAGCGCGAAAACACGTGGGCTCCTAGCGCCCCAGGCGGCACGGCGTACGCCCCTCCCACCTCGGCGCGGCCCCTGGCTCCTCCTCTGTCGTGGTCCCTGGCTCGTCTCCTGGCGCGCTCCCTGCCCGCCGTGCCGTGGCGCGTCCTCTGGCACGTCTCTCGGCGCATCCCTTGGCCTGAGACTGGCACATTCCATGGCGCGTCCACGCGCCCTGCGCCCCAGGACGTCTCGTCCCGCTTCAGAACCGAGTCGGATCCTGAGCTCGAGTTGATTGAGCGTCCCACACGCTTTGACTGCACCCGATTCTGGGCCAGCTATGCGCTCGGGCCGCTCGAGCTCAAGGTCCAGATCAGTTCGGCCAGGAATCGGATGCCAAGGGCGGCTTGATCCACAACGCGATTGGCACACAACGCAATCAACTGCGGCATGAGACATCTATCTTCAGCACGAGACAGCACCGCACAGTCCTTGGCACAGTACATCACGATCGACACCTTCAGCATTATCACTGATTGTCGCCCAGTCAAGTGTCTTGAAAACGAAGCCATGCCCGCACCACGTTAGACAGCGTCCGGTTGGCAGGAGAAGATGGCGAAAAGAAGGAGAGGCGACCACGTGACCACCCACCACTGCATGTCGAGGGACTGCAGAGACACGAGCTCACCCTGGGGACCGAGCTCGGAGAGGCGGAGGAGGGAAGACAAGGAAAGGGCAGCCGCGGGAGCACGAGTGAGGAGGGGGGGTACAAGAAACAAATGCGTTCTGCTCTGGGCGTGCAGGGCAGGAGAAGAGCTGCCTGAGATCGCCGAAGGCCGCCGAGGGCAGCGGAGGGCCGCCGAGGGCCGCCGAGGGCCGCTGGGGGCCGCCGAGAGCCATCGAAGACCGCCGAAGGCAGCCGAGGGCCACCCGCTGGGGGGACGCCGTGGGCCACCGAAGGCCGCCGAAGGCAGCCGAGGGCCGCCGAAGGCCGCCGAGGGGGGGTGGGCGCGCAGGGGCAAAGGAAGAGCGGGGCGGCGCGCTCGCCTCCTTCGGCTTCCCCTTGTTCAGGGCGTTGCGGTACAGCCGGTCGGCGGCCTCGTACGGGTCGTAGTTTGCGCCGACCTGGCGCCTCGGGAAGAGGGGCTATCCTCGGCATCCTCAACATCACATGAGCAACAACATCAACAACAACAACAACAACAACAACAACAACAACAACAACAACAACAACAACAATAACAACAACAACAACAACAACAACAACAACAACAACAACAACAACAACAACAACAACGACAACAACAACAACAACAACAACAACACAACACCAACAACAACAACAACCACAACAACAACAAGAATAACAACAACAACAACCACAACAACAACAACAACAACATGAACAACAACAACAACAACAACAACCGCAACAGCAACAGTAATAATAACCATAACAACAACGACAACAACAACAAGAACAACAACAACAACAACCACAACCACAACCACAACCACAATCACAACCACAACCACAACCACAACCACCACAACCACAACCACAACCACAACCACAACCACAACTCATCATCATCAGCAGCAGCATCATTATCATCATCATAACCATCATCCTCATCATCAGCATCATCATCAGCATCATCATTATCAGCATCATCATCATCATCATCATCGTCATCGTCGTCGTTATCAGCACCATCACCATCCTCATCATCATCATCATCATCATCATCAGCAACATCATCATCATCATCGTCATCATCATCACCATCGGCACCATCGTCATCATCAGCACCATCAGCACCATCAGCATTATCATCATGATCAGCAGCAGCATCATCATCAGCATCGTCAGCATCATCATCATCATCATCATCATCAGCATCAGCGCCATCATCCTCATCGTCGTGATCAGAATCAGCATCATCATCATCATCGTCATCATGATATGCATCATCAGCACCATCAGCATCATCAGCATTAGCCGCAGTCTTATCATCACCATCGTCATCGTCATCATCATCGGCATCATCATCAGCAGCATCATCCTCATAGTCATCTTTAGCATCATCATCGTCATCACCACCTCCCATCAGCATCATCAGTAACAGCAGCAGCGTCTTTTCGGTCCTCGAGTGTGTGCACTTCTGCGTGTGCCGTTGCCTGCCGTGCTTTCTTCGCCCAGGTGCATGACGACAGTCTTCGGGCCAGAGCTGGTGAGGGCAGGAGGGAAAAACAGATGCGCGGGCCAAGGGCCCACGCGTAGCGCGTCGTTGCGTGATGCCGTGGCTTGCTCGGCATCTCGCTTGGCGGGCGCAGCCGCACCTGCCCCGCCCCACTTGGGCAGGCCTCCCCTGCTTCGGGGTGGAACCACAGACAGGGGGCACAGCCTCAGGGTATGACAGGCCCCCCTTGGGCAGGGGCGAACCTCAAGCCGCTCTGCCCCGTCCATTTGTACTGGCCTCCCCTGTTCAGGGATGAAACATCGGTCAGGGGCAAGCCTCCCTGGAGCACGGTCTCCCATCGAGGGGGGCAAACTACAGGCCAGAGAAGCAGCGTGGCTGCTGCGGCCCGCTTGAGCGGCGGGCCTGAGGGCTCGAACGCAACTAGAGGTCGGGTGGCAAGAAGCCTACTATCCTTCCTCCTCCTCCTCCTCCTCCTCCTCCTCCTCCTCCTCCTCCTCCTCCTCCACTCACCCTGAGACCCGCCCCCCGTCGGTACGAGGTGGAGGAGGAGAATGGAGGATGAAGACAAGGGGATGGCACCGCAGGATGCTGCGCAACTCGCTGGAGGAGGTAGAGAGGTGGTGGACTAGGAAAAGGAGGAACAAGGGAGGAGGAGGAGGAGGAGGAGGAGGAGGAGGAGGAAGAGGAGGACGACGACGAGACGGAACGAGGAGGAAGGGAGGCAGGGGCACGAAGAGGAGGAGTAGGCCGCGTCCGCATTCCGACGCCACATCAGCCCAAGAGACATCCACCAGTGACGACCTCCACCGACGACGACGCCGACGGTGACGCCGCCGACGACGTCGACGACGACGACGACGACAACGTCGTCGTCGACGACGACGACGACGACGACGACGACGACGACGACGACGGCGGCGGCGGCGGCGGCGGCGGCGGCGGCGACCTCCACCGACGACGACCACGACGACCACGACGACGACGACGACGACGACGACGACGACGACGACGACGACGACGACGACGAGGACGACGACGACGACGACGACGCCGCCGAGGCCGAGGGCGTCGCGTCGGCATGGACATCTCGCGCTCCTCCTCGAGCCTCATCTGCTCCTCCATCAGCATCTCTTCCCGCCTGCGACCGCGCCGCATCGTCGTCGTCGTCCTCCTCCTCCTCCTCCTCGTCCTCGTGTTTGTACTCGTCTTGCCGGCGAGGCCCGTCGTCGTCGTCGTCCACGCGCGCGGGAGCACGCGCGGGATGAGGAGGCCAGGCGCCCCAAAGCAAGCTCCACTCACAATCACCGACGAGGTCCCGCATTGTGCGGAATCTCCGCTGCGAGAACCACAGCTCGGGTGAGATTCGCCGCCTTGCAATCTGAGGGCACCCATCCGCCGAACCCTCTCCTCGCAATCGTGGGAGGGCGATATTGTTGATAAAAGACAGAAACAAACCCAAGCTGGGAAAGAAACAGAAAGCAGCGATCGAGGCGCACGGAAAAGCGAAGAGGAGGAGAAGCAGCAGCAGGAGGAGGAGGAGGAGCTGCTAATTCCCCCAGCAGTGGATTGCACTCGGGGGCTCCTGCTTGTGCTGCCGAAATAATCAGACGGGACCGCATGGGCTTCGCTGATGTTGTTCTCATCCTACTTAAGGGCTACATCCCAGAAACAATTTCGAGCACCCAGAAAAGTGCCAAAAGAGTGTCGAAACAGTGTCGAACCAGTGTCGGGCGAGTGTCTCCCAGGGCCCGGCACGTGAAAACCCCTGAGCTTCGGTACTTTCTTGGGGGCGCTCCAAATTCTTCCTGGTGACCAAGGCTAAAGTAGGTTGGAGCATCATAAGGCTTCGCCCGGCGCCCGGCCGGTGGCCGCCCGTGGGCGCCTCGCGGGCGCCCCGCTCGCTGGGCCGGCACGCCCGCGGGTCGCCCGCGGCCCGCCCGCGGGCGCCCGCGGGCGCCCCACGGGGTGCGCCCCGCGGGGCGCGCCCCACCGGGGCGCCCCACGCGCCGGGCGCGCCGGGCAGCTCGCGCCACGCGGCCTGCACCGCACGGATGGCCTTCGTAGGAGCGCGCATCACGCCGCCTGCCGCCGCGCAGCTGCCACCGCGCGCGCGCACCACACAACAGGGCGAAGGGCACAGCCTGCAGCGCCCGGCCTGCACAGCACGCCTCGCGCCCCACGGGGCTTCCAGCGCACAGAGCCTCCACCACACGCGAGTTCGCACCGCGTGGCTCGCACCGCACATCCTGCACCACGTTGATGGCACCGCAGAGCTTGCACCACACAGCTTTCACCGTATGGTTTGCAACACATAGCTCGCGCCACAGAGCCTGCACCGCATTGATGGCACCGAACACCTTGCGCCACATAGCTGCCACCACATAGCTTGCAACGACAGAACGTGCAACACTGCTTGCAACGCGCGCGTTGCACATCGACGGCCAACGCTGGCTAACATTCCCCCCACACAAAGACGGACCTGTTCGGACCTGAAGATGCCTACCATCAACCTCGATTCGCCGAGAGCCCCCTGGAGAGCCCCGAATCATCCCGCGCGGCCGCTGCGGGCCCGACTTATGGTGAAGCCGAGAGGCTTCTCAGACGTCGGCGCCGACAAAACCGCGTCCTGGCAGCGCGGCCGCTATTCGACCGCTGCCTCAGACTGGGCCTCTCACGGAGGATGAGGAGGGGAAAGAAGACGAGGAGGAGGTCGAGCGTGCCCGACAGGCGAGTACGATGACTGGAAGCCCCTCGGGGAGGCAAGGCACTCCGTGAACTATGAACTTGAACGGGTAGAATCGAACCAGGTGAGGAAAAACTAGACCGAGAAGCCAACAACGATGGCGCCAAATTGACATCGTTGCGGTCCTGGCTCGGCACCGCGACGGCCGAGCATTAGGGGGCCCGCACGCAGCATGCCCAAGCCGTGCACGCGCAGCTCACAGCAGCAGGCCGTAACCTGCGACACGGGCGCGTCACCCGTTAGGCGGGCTTCCTTGGCTTCCTCAATACGCATCGACGCTGCACCACAGACGTGTCGGCAGAAGCCAGCAACGACCATCAGGAACACACACTGGGAGGAAGCAGCCGCAGCGCACCTCTAGTCCACGTCCAGCTCAGGAAGCGCACCTCTGCAGGGTTGGCCACGCAGCAGCTGGAACCCGACGAAGTTCTGCACGTCTGGGGCATTGGTGCTGGGCCCATCGTGAAAAGACCCTCCTCCGAAGGCCTGCGGCATCATAAGATCACGTAGTTCGTTGACCTCGGCTTGGTCTGCAATGTTGTCGAACCGCTGGTAATTCATGGCGCTGCGCGGCAGGCTGCGCCCACGAGGGCCAGGCGATCGCCTCTCCGCCGCAGCTTCGTTCTCAATGATACGCCCAGGGGGATGTGAAATTACGCACTCTGGTCAGTGGCACTGCCACCTAAACTTGCACGCACGGTCAGCAGCGCCAGAAGAAGCTGGCGCCGTGCACGGTGCAGAAGGAGAATGACGGCGGGAAAACTGCGCAACGCCAGGAACTAGGGAGACCAACTCCTTGACTTTGGCATGGACCGGTTCCAGCTTGGACAAAAGCTCCTCCCGATGCTCAGCGAGCTTCTGGCCGACCCTCTTGCTGAGGCCATCGACAAACGGGGTGTTGGCCGCCGCCACCGCGGCTGGAATATCTTCCTTGATAGTGGCAAGGCCGATCTTGACGACCAGCGACTGAAATTCTGAAGGAAATCTTTGAGCGTTTCTGCAGACAGGATGTGCACGTTGGTGGATTGAATCTGAGCCTCCAGGGTGTCAGCGCGGCTGCTCAATCCCTCATGTCGGACCTCGTGTCGGTCCCGTACCTCTCCTATGATGAAGAAAGTTAGAGTCGTCCTCGATAGTATTGTGCACCGATTTGCCACCTTCTTCGAATTATCGTCATGCGCCTGGCATTATTTGCCATGATGAACACCCATGTTGCCAACACGGGCAATAGTCGAATTTCGGGCCTCCACCAAGTCTTGCTCGGCACCCAACTTCGTATCCTATACCTCGCGTGATTCAATCAGAAACCTCGGGATGTCTAGAACGACTGGCGCTGGCTGGCAGGCAATCGCTGCCGTGCCTGGCAGAGGTGCAACTGCAAGCGTAAATTCAAGATCATGCGCGTTGAAAGAGAACTCCGTCGCCCGCCGCCCACGTCTCGCAACAAGCCGGGGAACACACACACACACACACGCACGCACACACACACACACACACACACACACACACACACATCAGCTCCTTGAGGAAAAGTAGGCGTGCTGGAGCTGAACCTCAACATGTCGCCGCGTCGTTTGTCCTTGACGCGTACCCGAGTGGACAACGCCGACACCGCGGCGGACCCGCGGCAAGCCTTGCGCCCCGCGCCAAAGTGGACGACGCCAGCACCACGGCAAACCCCACGGCAAACCCTGCGCCCGAGGCGGCGTTTGCCCTGGTGGCCGCGGCGCCCTACCCAAGACGTACGGCCGCGCGTCGGAACAAACGTCGCGGCAACATATCTTGAAGGAAACTACCAGCCCAAGGAGCAGCGAAAGGTCTCAGAGCCTGCCCAGCGATGGTCACCTCTCTAACCCGTCTGAGAGAAGACGCAATAAGGACCGATCTCTGCCCATGAGCAGCCATTTGTAAACCAGAGTCGCGTCGGTCCGAATACTTAGAGATGAGCCGCAGCAGTCGACAAGTGAAACACGATAACGAAGCATGAGTATCCTCACGGCAAGAAAGCACACGTGTCTGCAGGAACTGTATAGACCTCCGTTTACCCACAGACGCAGGTGCGAACAAGAAACATACAGGAACAGAAACGACAAAAAAGTCGTATACCACAACGGCCACGGAAGAGGACGACGAGGAGGAGGAGAAGGACCAAAACAATCCCAAAATGCATCAGCGATGTTGAATCACATCCTCCCAGCCCAGACCACCTCCCCCCAATTCCTTACAAGCCTTCCTTTCCACAGCAAGAAGCGCCAGCATCCCATAAACTTGCCAGTCAGACGCGAGTCTCGTTTTGACATCGAACTGGGCGGCATCATTCTAGCGAACGGTGGGGACTGCGAAAAGCATTGTCAGACATGCCAACAAGATATCCAGCAAAATCCCCTCCCTGGAGAAAAACAAAAAACCACAAATCTAAAAAAATACTAGACATAAGCAAAAAAGGAAAGCAAAGGACAACACCAACAATAACAACAACCACAGCAACAACAAGAACGACAACAGCGACGACAACGACATAACAACAAAAAAGAAAAACAAAGAACAACGACGACAACACCAGCAACAACAACATCCACAACAAAAACAACAACAACAACAACAACAACAACAACAACAACAACAGCAGCAGCAGCAGCGACAACAACAATAACAACAAAACAACAATCAAAACAACATCTGTGTAAACGGGGTACAAACTTGCAGGCAGATCTGGCGATGGACTGCGAGGAAGTCTCGAGCGAGCGACCCAGCCGAAGAGGAACCGCCCTGCACCTGTGTGGTGCTACGTATGTGTTCAAGCCTCTGGTCCTTGGGCCCCAGAATGTCCCAAACGAAAGCCCCTCATGCGGAAAAGAACCGCCATCCGCCGTTGAAACCGCTGCCGAAGTTTAGAACCGAATGTGCGCGGCGCCATCGTGAGAGACCCATCGGGACTGAGCAACCACCCTCCATCCTCGAAGTTGCTACAAAAAAGTGTTCAAAACAAATGCGCGCGGCGCAAAGGCGGTCGTCCGACGCCCTGCATCCCTGACACCGCCGCAACCTTCTCAACCGAGTGTGCGCGGCGCTAAAGGCGAGAGCCCCACTCTGAACAAACGCCCGCCCTCCATCCTAGAAACTGCTGCCAACAGTTACGACGGATGCGAGCGGCGCTGAGGCGAGACCCCAAGTTTGAAAGCCGCCCGCCCTCCATCCGCGCAACTGTTCCGAATGTCACGCTCCATGATCATGAATGGTGGGACATCTCAGGCGAAACGCCTGGCCCGCTCGACCGACACGTCTGGGGGTGCTACAAAAAAGGTGATGCATCAGGAAACGGAATGGAGGAGGAGGAGGAGGAAGAGGAGAAGGAAGAGGAGGAGGAGAAGAAGGAGGAGAAGGAGACGGGGGGGAGGAGACAGGGGGGAGAAGAAGAGGGGGAGGCCCTAACTCTAGCCTCAATCGCCAAGCTCAGAAAAAGAAGAAGAGAAGGGATACACGGAAGGAAAGAGGGACGCAGGACGAGCGAGGACGAGAGGCGAAGCGGAGAGAGCAAGGGAGAAGCGAACGACAGGAGGAAGAAGGAGAGGAGGGAGAGGAGGAGGAGGAGGAGGAGAGGAGGAGGAGGGGGAGGAGGAGAGGAGGAGGAGGAGGAGAAAGAGAGGGGGGAGGAGGGGAGGGGGAGGAGGCCGAACGTCCACAAGAAAGGAGGGGGAGGAGGACGAGGAGGGGAAGGAGGAGGACAAGGATGGGGGAGGAGGAGGAAGAGGAGGAGGAGGAGGGGGAAAAGGGAAGAAATGGGAGGAGGCGATAACTCTAGCCTCAATCGCCCAAGCTCCGAACAAGGAGGGGAGGAGGGACGCACGACGAGGGAGGACGAGCGGCGAGGCGGAAAGAGCAAGGAAGGCACGAGCGACGGGAGGAGAAGAAAGAGAGGAGGAGGAGGAGGAGGAGGAGGAGGAGGAGGAGGAGGAGTAGGAGATGGAGGAGGAAGAGGAGGAGGAGAAAGAGAGGAGGAGGAGGAGGAGGACGGCGACGACGATGAGGAGGAAGATTCTTCCCCAACTAGGCTTGCCTAAGGAGCTCTTACCCGTTTTGAACAACAGGTGAGTGGTGGGCCTGCGCCGGCCACCCACCATTGCTCGGGGTTCCACGGGATCCTTTGGTTTTTGGTTTTCTTACTGCTCCCCCACTTAGCCTTGTCTGCGGCCTTCCTAACATTCCCCAAGATCCCTGGCTCCCCAGGGTTATTGGTCTTACTTCCTTTCAACGATCACAACGATCACAGCGATCAACGATCACAGCGATAGACGATCAGAACGACCAATCGATCACACGGAACTTCTGGCTCAAGTTCCAGGCTCGGGCAAGCTTAGCCAGCGAGTTCACACCGAGGGTCGGCAAAGTCCTCGGCAAGCCTTTTTCATCCCGCGTCACGTACTCCCACTGGGCACAACAGGAGGAAGGCAATGCTCGTTCCCCAGGTCGGCTTGCCTGACAGGCTTGGCTGCACTTGCTCTTGCACAGCCAATGGATGCGCGGCCTGCGCCAGCCGGCGTAGCTCGGGTTCCCTGGGCTCCCTGGGTTACGTCGGTCTTGTTCCTTACTATCTTTGCACGGCCGGCCTTCCTCGGATTCCACTGGTTCCCTGGGTTTCCCGGGTTCCTTGGTCTTGACTATTTCCTGTTCTGGAAGAAGCGTTCCCTGGGTTGCAAAGCAACGCCAAGCAATGCCAAGCGATTCAAAGAGATGCCAAGCGATGCCAAACTAATGACAAGCAATGCCAGGAAAACGCCAAGCAATGCCAAGCAAGACAACGCAAAGCGAACAAAACACCAGGCCATGCCAAGCAGTGCCAAGCGATGCCGAGCAATGCCAAGCAATGCCAAATATCGCCAGGAAAAATCAAGAGATGCCAGACAATGCCGAGCAATGCCAAGCGATGACAAGCTATGCCAAGCGATGCCACGCGATGCCAAGCAATGCTGAGCGATGCCAAGGAACGCCAAGCAGTGCCGAGCACTACCTACCAAGCAATGTCAAGCAATGACAAGCAACGCCAAGCAATGCCAAGCGATGCCAAGAAATGTCAAATAATGTCAAGCAGTGCCAAGCACTACAGATCAATGCCAGTCAATGCCAAGCGACGCCACGCAATGAAAAGCGATGCCAAGCGATGCCAAGCAACGCCAAGAAATGCCAAGTAGTTCAAAGCAATGACAAGCTATGCTAAGCAATGTAAACATTACGGAACGATGCAAAGCGATGCGCAGCGATGCCAAGCAATACCAAGCAACGGAGACCCAGCAATGCAAAGAAACGCAAAGCAGCACAACACACACACACACAATGCCAAGCAATGTAAAGCAACGCCTGGCAACACCAAGCAATGCCAAGCAATGCAAAGCGATGCCGAGCGATACCAAGCAATACAAAGCAATGCCAAGCGACGCCAAGCAATGCAAAGCCATGCCAGTCAACGCCAAACAATGCGAAGCAATCCCAAGCAATGCATAGCAATGCAAAGCAATGCCAATCGATGCCAAGCGATGCCAAGCAATGCCACGCAATGCAGAGCAGTACCAAGCAATGCAAAGAAATGCCAAGTAATGCAGAGAAATGCCTAGCAACTTAAAGCAACGCCGAGCAACGCCAAGCGATCAAAAGCCATGCCAAGCGATGCCAGGCGATGCCAAGCAATGGCCAGCATTGCGACGCAACGCCAAGCAATGCAGAGCGATGCCAAGCGATGCCAAGCAATGTCAAGCAATGCAAAGCAAAGCCAAGCAATGCAATGCGAAGCAATAATAAGCAATGCCAGGTAATGCCTCACATACTAGGCTACTTGCTTGGGAAGCTTTACCCTCATTGGGATCGCGCCGGGTCCAGCAAGGTTTGCGGGAAGCCTGTGCGAGCTCTCGAGGGAAACGCCTTGTCGCCGCGAGCTGGCGGTGCAGCTTGGATGTCTCACTGCGCCGCCCTCTACCCTGAGGACTCCTCAGACTTTCCGAAACTCGCCCCCGGAAACCCATGAAGACCTCTGGATGCTCGGAGGCTTCCTGGGGTCTGTGGGGAGCCCTGGGAAGTCGTGGGATGCCGCGGGCCTTGAAAACAACATGGAGGCCCCTTTGAAAACCAGATGAAGCGGGATCGTTGGAAACACATCCTGCATGACAATGAAGCCCTCAGTGGGGGACGATGTACTGCGCGTCCCCTGTTGGTGGCGCAAGTCAGCGAACAGCCCCACGCAGCCACGCAGCGCCCGACTGCGCCAGAGGCCCTTGGGAGTCTCTCAGGCCCCTGGAGAGGAAGCGACCCTGCTCGCCATGGGTGGGCTCCGCAAACGGGCACTCCCCCACACAGTGTCACGTTGTCCCGCAGTCCCACTGCGCCGCAAGCCTCTTGGGCCACCCCTGGCCCCTGGATTTTCGGGGCCCCGGAGGAAGCAAACTCTTGAAATATCGGTCCGACTCACAGTTTGAAATAAGTATGAGAAATTTGAAATCGCGAAGCGCAGCATGAGTGTGAGTGCGCCCGGATTTGGAAGGTTGGAGCACGTTTGCCCGAACCTGTAAGCTTGAAAAGAACGGAAACAACGTGAAAAGTTTAAAAACTTTCGGCAAAATTGAAAGTTCGGCAAAAGTTTAAACAAAAACTGGAAACAACATTTGGAAACAGTTTGAAAAATGTTCACCCCGACTTAATAACAATTGTTCGAACAACAAATGAGCTCGGATTTTAAAACTTCAACTTGACACAGTGGAAAATGGCTCGGACAAGTTCGCCTAAAATCAAAAAGTTTGAAATTTGATACATGTAAAAATTCTGATGGATTTGGAAGTTTGGCAATTTTCTCAAGTTTGAAAAAAAAGCTTCGCCCAGATTTGAAAGTTTGAAGACAAAATTGAAAAGTGTCCCAGATTTCGAAGTTCGGCAAAGTTCGGCAATATAGAAAACTCTTCGAACAACCTCGGAGCTAGATGCATACTGCTTTCCATACCTTTTTCATCTGTCAATGTTTCCTTCGTCTCTCACTCGCACTTCCGCTTCGCTTTGATCTCACACTCTTGGCATACCTCGAATATCCCGCGCCCGGCCACTGGCTTGCTTGCGCGAGGCGACCGAACCCTGGAGATGGCGTGACCCCGCTCGACCCGCATTACGAGGTTGACGCGAACTGGCAGCCCAAAGCAGTGCCAGTCTAGCGCGGTCCCGCTGCTGCGCCAGAGGCCCGCGGAAGGCTCCTGGCAGGCCCTGGGAAGCCGTCGGCATCCCTCGGGAAGCTCAGTCGGGGCCTCGGGTAACTCCTTGGGAGGCCCTTGGGAAGCCCTTGGGGGTCCTGGACGCCATGAGCGGCTGCGGAGCCCTCCCGAAGGAGAATGGTATCCTTCGGAGGCTTTGGGGAGCCCGATGCGCCTTTCTACGGTGCTTCCTGGGACGCTCAAGGATCTCCGGGCGCCAGAAGCGCTTTCCGCGCCCTGCCTGCCCCCGTATGCGAAGCGCACGGCCCCGACCCCCCTTTCTCTCCTGCTTCTGGAGAGGGGGAAAGCGGGACCATGGCGAAGACTTAGGTCGGCCATGTCCTCCTGCAAAGGGATTTTGGACGAAAAATAAAAGATAGTCAAAACAAATACTCAAAAGAATCAGAAATAGTTGATCGTCCCCAGACTATATTCTACTTATTTTTGAATTCCCCCTGTAGAGGGACAGGCCCAACTTAAGCCAAGACTGCCCGCGCAAATATCGTGTCGATCCTGGTTACCGTCTATCTCAGTCGGCGTCAATTCATGACTCCTCCTCGTGACTCGGCGACGGCGGGCATGGCTCATGACCAATATCGGTATCGACAAGATGACATCTTGATCATGGCCCTTGTGCTTATTCCCTCCCTATATTTGGCCCCGCGGCCCCGCACCATCGTCGTCATCGCCGTCGCCATCGTCAGCATCTTCTCTTGGCAGCTCGCACAGAGGAGGTAGGGGGAGGAGGGAAGGGCTTCCTAAAAGGAGGTCGCTCCTTAGAAGGCGCCGGCCATTCCATCTAGAGACGAGGCCCGCGCCTCCTAAGGAGCAAGGGTGTTTCTAAGAAGCCTTCCCCCCTCCCCTTACCCTCCTCGGCGCATGGCAGAAGTGGGGAAACCAAAAGGTCCCTATACCACTACTCCACAGACCTCTCCCGGGTTGCGTTCTGACCAGCATTTCGAGGCGAAGGCAGCGGTGGCGACGAGGGCCCCCTAGGAGGCCCAAAGAGGGGAAGACGAGGCAAGGGTAGCAGCGCCGGTACCTTTCCCTCCCCCCTGCCCCCCCTCTGCGCGTGGCTGACTCCCTGCCCACCCCCCTCTGCGCGCGGCTGCTTCTGTGGCCGCGTGGCCAGGCCAGCCCTCGCTCCGCCGCGGCGCCTCCCGAGCATTAGCCTTGCGTGCCTCGACCGTGCACCGGTCCCGCAGGAGTCGCCGCAGGCCGCCCCCCCCACCGCTCCCCGCGGCGCGGAGTGCGCCTCGTCGTCGTCGTCGCCGCCGCCGCCGCCGCCGCCGTCGCGGGCTGCGGCGGGGGGGCGGCCGCGAAGAAGCGAGAGCGAGAGCGAGAGAGCAAAGGAAGCAAAGAAGAACCAACGAAAATAAGGAGTGAGCCGGTGAGCGAGCGTCGCCAGGAAGGGCGCGGGTTCCGAGGGGCACGGGTCCAGGGGTGCTGCGCCATGTTCGGGCGCCCGTGGCACTCCCCGGGCCCCGTGGCTGCCAGGAAACAACAGAGAGGACGAAGAACTGGACCCGCTTCCTTCAGGGACGAGCTTCCTGCATGCCAAGGGTGAGCGAGTGACAGAGCTGACGGAGTTCCCCACATAATGGATATTATTGGGATAGCGGTATCAAGGATCATTTTGTCATGAAGTTGCCGACCTGCCCTCGCCCTCTCCATCCTTTTCTATCACATGGTTTGCGAATAGCGTCCTCGCTCAGGCGGGGCCTCCCTGGAGGGGTGGGAGGGGCGCATGGTATTGGTATGGTATTGGTATGGTATTGGTATGGTATTGGTATGGTGGGAGGGAGCTCAGACGAAACCTGATAAATAACAGGTGTTGCATGGTATTGGTATGGCATTGGTATGGTATGTAATGGCTTGGTATGGTATTGGTATGGTATTGTATTGGTATGGTATGGCTTGGTATGGTTTGGTATGGCATTGGCATGGTATGGTATTCGTATGGTAGGGCTTGGTATGGTATGGTATTGGTATGGTATGGTATTGGTATGGTATGGCTTGGCATGGCTTGGTATGGTTTTAGCATGATATGGTATTAGTATGGTATGGCTTGGTATGGTATGGTGATGTGCGGAATGGTATCGTATGGTATGGTTTAGGAGAAGGACGCGGGAGGAGGAGGAGGAGGAGAAGGAGAGGGTGTTCTGGGAAAACAAGAACCCCACTCAGGATGTGGGGAACAAAAAAAAACAAAAAAACAAAAAAAAAAACAAACAAAAGAGAGAGAGAGAGTCGGCTACCGGTCCGGCGGGGCCGGGCCTCCGAAGGGGGGCAGCGCGGGGGGGGGGGGGCCGGGGCCCTCGCGTGGGACGCACGGAGACGTACTATCTGTGTTTTGGATCCGCGCGTCGAGAGCGCACCTCTTCCGGTCGAAGCTAAGCGGGCCGCGCGAAGTGCAGAGACATACTGGTGCTACAGGTTCTCCTTGGGGAGACGCGCGTCCGACCCGAACATATGGTAGACCCGTCTTGTAGTAGATCCTTTCCCGAGCGGTGTGGCCGGAAAGCGTCCGCCGCGACACGTACGCTATAAGATTTCTCGGTGCGCGCGTCGCCCGGGGGGGGGGGGGGGGGCGACGCACATATAGTAGAAATATGCTGGGGTGGCGCCGATCACGTGTTGCGAGCAGGAGTCGGAGTCGGAGGGAAGTCGGGGAGTCAGAGTCGGCAAGGGGGGGAGGGGTCAAGCGGGGAGCGGGAGGGCGTCAGTCACGCACCACCACCGATCCCACGCCAGGCCCACCATGGGCCCAGGGTCGGTGCACTTGACCCCTCGGCCTGGCCAAGAAGGCACGTCCACGAAGCCTGGGCCCAGGATCGGCCCGGCCAGGATCAGTGCTGGTTTATGGCCGGCGCCGTTCGAAGACAGTCGAGGAGGGACGGCCGAGCCCTCCTGCAGAGTACACAACAACAGAAGCGCCCCCTTATAAGGTATGTACGGCCACCCCCCTCGCACCACCCCCTCCGGCGCGGAGCCGACGCACGCATGAGCACAAGACAGCGGGCGAGGGCGCACGACACTGCCGGCGCGCCCAGCCAATTCCGTCCCAGAGCCCTCACGCCTGGCCGCCCGCGCCGCCCTGCTGGAGCTCCGGGCCGCCGTACTGCGAGCTCGTGGGCACGCGCACGCGGAACTGCGAGTAGTAGTTGGACGGCCCAGACAGTGCGTCGAAGGAGCTGGTCGGAGGGCGCCAGCTCTTCGCACCTGGACAGAGCCTGGCCCAGGCCGTGCCCGTGCCCGAGGTTGGCGCCCGTGCGCCCGGAAGGCGCGTGCACCATCCCGTGGGCCCAGGCGAGGCCTCTGGCCCAGGATCGGCACCAGTCTGCAGCTGGCGCCCTCCGAGCTGGGGAAGGCATTGTGGAAGGCTGGGAGCCCGTCGGACCTCCAGGCCGGAAGTCCGTCGCGGGGCGCCGCGTCGTGGCACTGCGGCGAGGGCCTCTGAATGGGCCTCACGGCCAGCTCCGCGAGGCTTGTGGTGTGCATCTGGCGCGCCGTCGCTGCAGATGGAGAGCCGCCGTCTCCGCTGGGCCGAAGGGGCGGGGGCTCGTGCTGCGAAGCCTCGAGGCGCTGGGAAATGAGAGCGTCCAGGGCCTCCCACGTGCGGCCACCGTCCACTGAGGCCAGCAGCCTGCGGCGCGCCGCCACTCCGGCGCCACCCGCGGTGTTGGCGGGGCCGTCGAAGCTGAGCTGCACTGGGACGCCAGCGACGGTCCACACGGCGCTCGCCCCGCTCCCTTGCCTGTCTGGCCGGATCTGGTGCAGGCCATGCTGGCACAGGAGCGTCCAGAGAGCGCGGTCGAGCTCGGCGCAGAGGTCCTCGGGCCCAGGCGCCTCCCGGGTGGGCATGGCCGGCTGCTGGCCCGCGTCCTGGCCGGCGCAGCCGTCGGCGGCCGTGCTCGCCCTCGGCAGCGCCGGCTGGCACGGCCCGAGCTCCGCCGCGGGCGCGTCGGGGGCGCCTGCCTGCCGCCTCCAGGGCGCCTGGTGCGACTGCAGCGGCGAGGGGGGCGCGGTGGGCACCGCCGCGGCGGGCGACGGGGGCCCCGCGGGCTCCGAGCCAGCGGCTGCGGGGGGTGCCGCGGGGCCGGCGCACTGGTGGCCGCCGAGCGCCTCCTGCGCGCCCGCCTCCGCGAGCAGCTCCCGGAGCCTCGCGTTCTCGCGGCGGGAGCGGAGCAGCTCAGCCTCCAGCTGGGCCACCGCGGCGCCATGCGCCGAGCGGAGGCGGGCCTGCGCCTCACGCATGGCGGCCTCGAACGGCGCTTCGTCTGGGTCGTCCATGGTCGCGCGCGCGGGTGCGGAGCGCCTTCGTCTTGAGCCACTCGCCTGTCGGCACCCTGCATGCCGACCTGCGGCTCTCCTTCCACCAGCTCCTCGTCGTCTTCCCCGTCGCCTTCCTCTTGCTTGTTATCCTACGCTCCACCTTCGTCCGACTGTTCCTCTACAGCCCTCCTGCTCTTGTGCAAGTCCTCATAATCAGCAGCAGCATCGTCACCCTCGTGATACCCATCATTATCCCCCTTGCTGCTCCTCCTGACCTTCCTCCTTCTTGTCCTCCTCCTCCTCCTCCTCCTCCTCCTCCTCGTCCTCCTCTTCCTCCTCCTCCTGCTACTGATCCTCCTCCTCATCATCCTCCTCCGCCTCCTTCTCATCCGCCTCCTCCTCCTCCTCCTCTTCCTCCTCCTCCTCCTCCTCCTCCTCCCTCCTCCTCCTCCTCTCCTCCTCCTGGCAGCCCTCCGTCTCCTCCTCATCCTCCTCCTCCTCTTCCTCCTCCGCCTCCTCCTCCTCCTCCTCCTCCTCCTCCTCCTCCTCCCTCCTCCTCCTCCTCCTCCTCCTCCTCCTCCTCATCATCATCATCATCATCATCATCATCATCGTCGTCGTCATCATCATCATCATCATCATCATCAGTATCATGATCATCATCATCATCATCATCATCATCATCATCATCATCATCATCATCATCATCATCATCATCATCATCATCATCATCATCATCATCATCATCATCATCGCCATCGCCATCATCATCATCATCATCAGCATCATCATCATAATCATCATCATCGTCATCATCATCATCATCATCTTCACTATGATCATCATCAGCAGCAGCAGCATCGTCATCATCATCCTGGTCGTCGTAGTCATCATTCTCATCATCCCCTTCCTCCATCATCATGATCATGGCCATCATCACCGTCAGCAACAGCATCCTCGTCATTGCCCTACTTGTTTTCTCGTCCTACCTCCCCCTTCCACTCACCTTCCTCCCCCCCATCTTCACAATCTTCCTCTCCCGCCCTCCTCCTCCCCACTCCTTTCCTTCCTGCCCCTCTCCGACACACCCATTCCTCAGACTTCCAATGTCTTGACTTGCTGAATACCCGGGCCTCAGAAATCTCGGCACCTTCCTGGGAACAGGTTTCCCGTCGCAGATCGTCTTTTTGCTACGGCCCCAAATCCCAACAACGGCCCACGCGACACCGAAAATGGCTGACAAAGAAGTCCGTCTCGACTTGTTCCGAGACGCTGGAGGCTTGACTCTGGGGGTGAACCCTGGAACCTGTCGTGAGTGCGCTCTGGTAAACCTCT